GAACCACGGAGACCGGTTATTTCGCATAAACTTATATGTGGTTTCGGGACCCTTTATCACCCATCGTTTGCAAAATTCTCACTCAAACGCTGAGTAAGTTTCAGAAACGACAACAATAAAGGACTGGCAGTTATCTCCTTTTCCAGAAGACGCCTTTGAGGTCTTATGACGTCTCGAACACTTCTTTTTAGTTCTGCTAGCTTACAACGGAGACAGGTGTAGTATCATGTCCATGTGGTTTTGCCTGTGTCGTTTCAGTGCTAGACTGAGGCAATGTGGGCATAGTATCGAATCAGGGGACATGTACACGGGTCTTTAGAATCGCTGTGCGAGACGGGGTTAATGTCCCTGGGTTATCGCCTCCTCTGGCTGAAGCCTTTGTGACTTTGTGCTTTTTTAAGGCTACTGTCAACCTCTATATTAACAATCACTATAACTCATGCCATGTGTGAATAAGAGGTAGCAACATTATCAGCACAATAGACAAGAGTAAGACCTTGTCTAATACTTTTTGGTTAATCGGCTTCACAGCAATCACGTGGCAGACCAACGAGTCTTATTTATCTGAACGGGTGAGAAATATGTTGCTACAAATGTGGCACCTGAAGTTCTGGCATTAGTTCGAGACAGCTGGATTTACCACATAGAGATTTAATATGGAGGTGACGGTCGGATTTAATTCACCTGCAAGGAGGACCAGGTATCTCAGTTGAGTGATTCACAAAACAGGTATTTTGCGGTTAGAGGGGAAAAAGCAAGTCGTATTCAAGGATCGCTGTGACCCCAAAACTAGTGTTATTTCCTTAAGTTATCGGCGCACCACCCAAACACTGAAATCTTGGAGTTCGCGCCACTGAAAATCTCATATTTCTCTACCTTTCAGTGTTTATCTGAAACTACTCACATGCACCTATATTTTCACTCTGCGAACCGAGGCAAACTTCGGGCCAATAACCACTGCTGAAACTACCAGCTGGATTTGTGTGCAAAGATGAGTGACAAATTTGTTCATGTCTTTCTGCTTTGACGATCGACCAAAAGTAATAATTTGAACCCGTCAATTTCAAGCAGTATTTCTTTCTGTTTTTATGGAACTCGGTAAGCACGATTTATTCCAAACTCAAATTGTCCATAATAACGTCTTCGCTGCCACCTTAAAGATTCATAATTATCAGTCACTAATGTGGAATGAAAGAAGTCATTAATACATTCCGTTCACCGTACAAAGAGCAGTTCAGTGCAGTTTAGCGAAATCGATTCGCGCAACGCTACTAATTGTCCACTGAAATAGGTGTGTCGGAACGAGCAAGATAAACGCGGCCGATTCCAGTTATTTTCCACTAGGCTTGGCATGAGTCACCTTCAACCATCTTCCCTTCGCACGAGTACATGATTTCGTTTTAAGGCATAGGTTAGACTGTGTACGTTTCCACTTCAGGTGTAAAGTGATCCAGTGACATTTGTAGATAACCCATAATGAATTCTTCGACATAAAAGGAAGGCGGCCGAAAATGTTTGTCGTTGACAGATTAGAAATCAGAAACTGTTGGAGATTTATGTATTCTCGATATCCAGTTAAAATAATTTCATTGTGCTACCTCGTTGGTGATAAATCATCTGCTTTCGTCGTAAAACCTGAGAGGAGCCAAAGATAATTTAAGTTTAAAGGGTGGTCTGTAATCTACGTTGAGACCTTTGGACTTCTGTGACCGAAGTTAGTCCCTGTCCTGGCTAGTCATTCGATGTAATCTGAGAGAATATAATAAGAGTAAAAGTGATGATGATGGTAATAATAATAGGGAAAATGACTTCAAAAAGGGGAACCAAAAGAATAGATAACAGTGAGATAATCAAACAGATAAACATGGTGGACAAAAGACAGAGAGTGAGAAAGAGAGGAAAGACTGCTCAAGTGTCAGGTATTAGTGAGAAAATGTGGGGTGTCAGAAACTACCAGAATAGCAGCAACCATTTGCTACAGTAGACATTAAAGAAGAAAGTAAGGTATCTGTGTGGTACTCACAACGGTATGTAAGCTCTGCAAAGAATCATGAACATGTGAATGGTGCACTAGTCGTAGAAATCCGCTTTCGCGCGCATAAGTTGCACTGCCGTGTTTTCACACAAAACGGGACTAATTGAATTACTCTACACAATGTGGACCAGATGCGTATGGACTTCCGTTTCCGGTCCCATAAGGTAGATGTGATGAAGATTTACAGACTCGATATTCCCAGCAGGAGGCATTTTTCTTGTTGGCTGTTGTCGAGATGATGTACGTGTCTAGCTAACTAGGAACCATGAACAAATCGTGGGACGCAAAATAGTGATGATATCTGACACAGAATCAACAACACAGGTGACTGTGGAATTTCGATTAGGAATAAAAGGTCCCTGAAAATACCGAGGTCTATATATCTGGGGTTTTACTCAATAAATGATGTATCAGTGAGCTTTTCTATTTTGTTTGTTCAGACCCCTTGAATCCTGTAATCACAGATCATATTCAGAGTGTATCAAAGAACAATTTGACCGGCTACTTTCTGTGGTACTGCAGTGTAATTTATATTGGACGCACAAAAGTACCTCGGCAGCAGCTTTAGACAGCTGCAGAGCTTGGAGACTTCCTAATGCACGCTATGGCTATGCAATTCATAGCAGTTACCAGATGTACTTATCCATTAACCTCATTATGATCGGTCGTATCCGCGACGAAATCATAAATGAGTGCTGCTGAGGAATCCAGAACTTGTACCAAACAGCTTTCCAGAACTGCCTGGTCTTTGGTAGTCCCCTTATAGGGCTTATTCAACTTACAACATAGTGGTCACTCAGAAGTAGTCAGTGATAAAGGAATTCAGAAGGACTACACAAGTGACCGAGTATGAACTATGTCTCACTCGTATTTGGAGGGTTCTTTTTATCAACTTAACAATATTGAGTGATGAATGCCCTTCCTTGTGTCTGACCAAGTCCTCCTGCAGCACCTATCCACCAATTTGTCTTCGAAATATTCGTTCATACTACACAAGTGACTTATACTCCTAACAGGCAGGTAGTTTGAGTAATTATTTTGATAGAACCATCGTTTATTAAGCTCTGACCGATCTCGATTCATGACGAAATATGAACTGAAAGTCAAAGAGTTTAGTGACCGTGGTCACAAAGTCTCCCTTATTGTTTCGGAGGGAAATTTATGTGACTTTGAAGTACCAATATGTCTGCTTGTTTCTTCCCGGATGATTATGCATTCGTCGATGAATGTTTTAGAAGAATGAGCCGGTTGAAATACAGAGGACCAACAGGACTGCATTTGCTGCATCGCACTGTGATAATGCATCTTCAAACTCAGAAGGTGAAAAAATTGTGCCAGTAATGTCCTCTTCGACAGCATGTGCGAAGTTCAAAATGACACCACACCACCAGCCCTAAAACTGTACCTCGTCGAGGTAACTCAGGCAACATCGTTTATCGAAAAGCAACGGTGAAGGTGAGGGGTCATTTTCTATTACTTTGGGGCTCGTCGCCTACAGAATCCATCGTCCTCTGGCGTCGTAGAAACTCCAACAGTCGATAGCTTTAAGAGAATACCAGACGATTATGAAGAAAATATGGATTTGTCTGAATCCCCAGCGATAGTGGACTCGCTAGACGAGGATGCACCAATGCTGCTAATGTCCCATTTACTTTTGTATGCATTATTATTCTGCCCCTTTTTCTCATTCTCTTAATTTCTTCCACTTCTGTTGGGTACATATGCTGTCATTGTCTCACCTGTCTTACAGTTGTTTAACCTTACTCTCTTTGTGGCTAATCTGCACATCCTCTAGACTTCCTTACTCTCCTACTATCATCCTTAGAGTATTTACCTAGATAGCTGGAGAATCAACCGGCGAAACAAGATTCACGAGTCAAAGGAGAGATACTGTTCTGTTAAAATCCAAATGCTCCGTATTATATAAACCAGTCTATCTTCTTTTATTCCCTTCAGCTAAGCTGCAACTATAATGGAATCTGCTGAAAATGTAGAATCGTTTTAATCAAAACAACGAGAAGCGGGAGCGAATAATAATAATGTTTACAATGTCTCAGTCGTGGATTTTCCCTTCTCTTGCGGGCGTATCCACATGCTGGTATGTGGAAAAGTTCGTCACTGTTAGCAATATATAAGGTCCACACCTTTTGAAAGTCTAATGCGTTCGTAGCGTCTGACATATGTGTTGCTTTCTCTCGCACTGATTACCTGCGATAAAATTCTAGAAAAACGGCTCATTATTTTTTTTTGGTAACAGCTTGATTCCACACTGTATGTTTTTTGGTACAAGTATGGAATTTTCAGCGTGGATATCGGTAGCCTAAATTTCGCAGGCCGACCATAGATATATGGTGTGCGCCTGTGTGGGCTCGAACCCCGGACCATGTGCATGGTCGTCGAGAGTCCTAACCACTGTGCCACCGACGAAGCACATTATTGCCACAGTTTGTCACAGTTAATTCTCGAGAAACACAAGATACCAGACTATGTGAGTGAGAAATGTCGAAGTAGAAAATACTGTAAGTACAACCAAAACTCGAGAAATGCGTTTGGACCCACGGGATGGTAGTCACTGATAGCCACCATAATGCCTGACCAGTTTCAAGGGAGTTTATAACAAAAGAAGCGCTGTCTCTGTATGAAAAACAGTTAAAAAATGTTAGAATAGTCAAATTTTACATCTATATTCGTCAAAGTTGCTTGCAAACCACACATAGCGCTCGGGAAAACGACATTGAATATTGAAGGAGGTGAAACATACTGGGGGGGGGTGTTCATTCTCAAGGCCATATTTCTCGTGTTTTGTTGCAACTGGCTTTGTACTCTTAATGCCTTTCGAAATTCGGCCTCTAGTACCACTTAGCTGAAATGTGTGCCTAATCATCACGTGCATTCTCGGAAAACGCAGTTATTTTTCAACTTTATTTCGTCATCGTTACATGTTTGGTTTGATTTTGTACATCCTATGGATCTCAAACTCCCAGATAATGAGTTCTATGGGATTGAGTTCCCAGCTGTAGTGAAGAACGTTGATACCGCTATTGAAATGCTCGGTGGACTGTCTCAAATATCTGAGGTACTTTTCATACGTATATTGTACTGGTTCTTTAAGAGCAGTTATTTTGATTTCGTAACAGACGCTAATTCGACTTTTTCTTAAAGTATTTACCATATTTGAGGATTTATGCATTTTGTTGAACAGTTATCTGGTACACAATGTTTTAGTCGACTAAGAATAATGATTCTGTGATAACTTTCGATGTGTATTTTGAAGTGTACATCTAATTTTTTGGGTCTTCTGACCACTTTCAAGATATCCATCATAGATACTTTCATGAGTGAAAAACTGTTAATAATAACGAGGATAGGTCGGCCCTACAAACTGATTTAGATAAATTAGCTGAGTGGTCAAGCCTATGGAGTTTGGAAATGATTACTGGGAAAAGCGCGGTAATGCACTTAGGTCAGAAGTCTTATACGTCGTACTCCCTAGGGGACACAGAACTACCTGATGTTAACGAACAGAAGGACCTAGGAATCATTGTCAGCAATGATTTGAAAACAACTGTTAATTGCGAAGCATCCGCAGCTAAAGCTTTTCGAATGCTATTGGCACTTCAAAGGGCTTTCAAACGATTAGACGAGGGCATGTTCCAAATACTCTACGCAACATATTTCAGGCCTCATCTAGAATACTGCATACAAGCGGCGAGTCCATGCTTCAAAAAGGAGGCACATATTCTGGAAAGAGTACAAAGAGTAGGGACAAAATTAGTTAGTGGTATCTCACACCTTCCTAATAATAAGAAGATGGAGCATTTAATTCTGTTCCCGTTATCATACCGAAGGAAGAGAGGCGACTTAATTTTAGCATACCATATATTTAAAGGTGATTTAGGAACTGACCTTTCTAACCTTTTCTCCCCTTTGAGGATACATTTACGGGGTCACCGCAAAAAGGTGCTCAAACCGAGGACGATTAAAATACATGCAGAATTTAGATTCTCTCACAGGGTGGTCAACGACTGTAGCTCCTTACCTGATTCAGTAGTATCAGCTCCATCGGTGAACGCTTTCAAAGAGAAGTTCGATCTCTTCAGAGTTATATTTTGCAAGGATTAACACAGGCCACAAGAGCCTTCTATCCCTATCATCTGAATCTGAATATTCTACCCACTCAAGTTTCACTGTGTGGCGATTTATGTTTACCGTAAAATTACTTTCATCACATGCGAATTAATGGAACTTAAATAAAACTTCAATGTTAGTTGGCCTAAGTGTTTGTCTCTAAATAGATTAATAATTTTCGAGAGTTGGTTTGTAAGGATTAGATTTATTGTTACGAGTTTAATGGTTCCGCTATATCACGAATTAGTAAAAGTTGGACTCATGGGCTGACCATTGAATCGGATCCCAGTGGCTGAATGGTATACGAGCTTGCCTTGTAACCGGAAGGTCCTGGGTTCTAACCCTGGGAGGTGGGTGCATAATGCCGATGATTTTCCAAACTAGGATGAAACGGCTGTCCAATACTCCTTGGTTTCCAGTGGTTCTCTGACAGATTAATTGATTACAGTTGACTAATTAGAGTTGACGCAATGCATTACTTACGGTGTTCACTTTTCATTCAAACAAAGTAAGAATCAACGCATTATTTAGTTTTGAAGTCAACTTTTGTTAGTACTGTACAATATGTGAACTTTTTAGATAGTTACTAGTTTTAGTGACATTTAAAATTATCTTGCCTGGTGCTCGTCTGCGCAGTAATAACCGCATAGTTTTTCTGGGGATGTTTATCCGATGCTGATCTCACAAAGCCGGTACATGATCACTCCCTGAATAGGGTAGAGTAGATTCATTCTAAACTTTATTGAAATTGGTAGCCACGGTCTCAGGTTGATGTACGTTATAGCATATTTACAGTGATTAAGATTTATACTTAAGGATAAGTGTGTGAATGATATTCGGATGAGGGATTAGAAGATCAAGTAAAAATCATATACTTGATTTCAGGTCATATGCATGAAACTTATCCACATTCACTATCTGGTGGGTGACTGCAGTATTGGTTAGCTGAAATCAATGCATCTGGAGTGGTATTTTAGCCCACTCGAAAGTTAAGTGCCGAAAGTTGTGAGCCTTACCTCACTGCAGGATCAGTTTCATTTAAATGTTCTCAGAAATTCCGTCTACGTTCATGAGCACTAAACATATTAGGCATTGCTAGATGGCAGACTTTAAATGTGATGTGTGTATTTATGGTTTCTTGATTTAGTGCTAACCACATTAATCAATGCCATTCATTCCTCTGTTGCTATTAACTATAGGTATTTGCAGAGGAAAAGCGACGTTTAAATCTATCGTTTCGCCCTCATATGTTGTATGCTAAACCTGCCTGTGGAGATGGTCGATCGTCTAACGCTTTTGTTATTCGTGTTCAGCGCTGTAGAAACAAAAAGACGGGAGAAATTAAGCTTTTTGCAGTAATTTTAGGACGAGTTATCCGGGTCTATAAGTTTGATGGTATGCTTTTGTTTTTTGATATTAATTTTTTCCTGGTTTTTGTGTTGAATAGAGTTACGGCTAAGTAGTTTATAAGTGAAGGTTTTTAACTGTGTTTTCACTCTATTTTTTTTATCACTTAAGACGTTTTTTATACAAATAAGATGTACGCGTGGCTATTCGATAGTTGCATGAAAGTGGATTTAGTTATTTTTTCTGACCTTTGCTATAAGAGACCAGAATCCTTTATGTTTCACTTTTTATTTGTATAGTCTTAGTTTTTGTCGTGATAGTATGCTTCTGAAAACTGTTCATTTAGCATCATTACAAACAGTTTCATAGTTCTGTCTAACCGTAAAAAAGAGTATCAGATTCTGCAAATAATTGAACAAAATTCCCTACAAAACCAATACTTGAAAATTAATCTGATGCTCACTAGCGACTGGTCCTATTCACGCAGTTAATCTGGGGTTCTAGTGGGAAGCCGTGACCAGTATGGTGCATCAGGTTGAAGGTGGGGTAGTAACTCATCGAAGAAGACATTGCGAAATGGTCGCTCTATGTCATGAATTGGCAGAGGTTAGAATTCGTTGGCTAGTTATTGGATCGGGTCCCAGTGGCTTAATGGTCTATGAGCTAGCTTAGCTGGCCTTGTAACCAGAAGGTTTTGAGTTCGAACCCCGTTGAGTGCGTACTGCTAAAAATCCTTTTGACATAAGAAAATAAAATAAAGAAATAGGCTTGTCTGCTACTCATTTTCTTCCTACTCGCCCGTCCACTCAGCACTTAGAGGCAGATTGTGGCTCGGCAAATGCAGTGAATAATGCAGCCATCTCTGGTTTTAAGGTATTATTTGATTGATCTATCATGCCTAAAACTCTATAGCCGTTATAAGGTGATCTAAGCAAAGACAAACAATGACATGAAGACAGATGGGCAAGTAATTAAAGTCACTGGGTATCGTTCAGCTTTAATGGTCATTTTTTTCACATATGGGGTAAAATACAACTCACATAACCGTTCAGTGGAAACCAAATGTTTGAGGGATGAAAAACGCGTTGTAGTGTACCACTCTGGATATCTGGGAGACTTGGTTTAGGTTAATGTTGGTACTTGACTAGCAGGGTATCGTTGACTGAAACGGTTGTGTGTTAGCAGTACATTCAAACAGCCTCTGGTAATATCGCAATCAATGTTTGTAGCTGAACGAGCTGGCGCTTTGTGTGCCTATGTGGTTACTTACTGGCACACAATTTCATGTGAAATGGTTAATTTCTATATTTTGATATGATGTGTATATCGTGCTTTTATTTCTTGTTTCAAAATAAAGCAATGGCCGATTTTCAGTTTGGTCCATATGAGCGTGTTCACACCTCACCGAAAAATAAGAAACCTGGATCAACTGATATGGACTATAAAATATTTTACAATGACCTTATAATCAAGGAGCCTACAACAATGATTGATTCGTATTTATCTCGTGATATGCCGCTTTATTTACCACCAGTACTATTTAGCCGTCAAGATACTCCAAGTGTCTATAATTTCGCACCTCGTTATCGTACAACTGAGTATATTCAACTTGAAGAAAAAGGTCATAAACTTCCAGTGTGTAAGTTATTGGAATGTTTATCTCTGAAAATTTTTCATTCTTTCTTTTGGACTCTACAAATGTCGTTTACCGTGTCGCTTGAGTTTATCATATTACTAAAGTTTGTTTAGTAAACTATCTCATTCATTTAATAGCTAACAATGGTGTTGTAGTGATGTTATTATCATTATTTTATTCCTTTGCGTTCCAAGTAGAACATAGGGTTTCATGCTTGAGCTTTGAAGTTTCAATAGCAGTGGTATTTTTTACAGGGTGGGGTTGCTAGCCTCACTCCAACCTTCCCTTCTTGTTGAGCTCAAAACCGGTTAGGGGAGGTAAAGATGACCGCCGGTCTGGAATCAAATCCTGGACTGTATACATGACCGATTTAGCATTTTACCGCTGAACCACCGACGCGTTGAACTAATGTGTAGTGGTCAAGAAAAGCGAATCAGATTGTTAACTTTCGTCTATCAAAGTGGCTAGAGTATGCATTTAGTAATGAGAGCAGTCGTTTGCCCCAGTTCACAATATCAGGTGGAATAAGCGGTGCATAAGCGGTCAAAATGAAGCATAAATTTCTCTGGTTTTCGCCTATTCACTTGCTTTGTTGCTTGTATATTTCTCCACTCCTCTGGTTCAAGTATCCTTTTTATTCAGTTAAAGATCTACTTGATTTGGTGTACCTCTTTCTGTTGCCGTGTGTCAATAGTTACCATGCAATTTTTGTTTGTCGCTCTACACTGCTATATTTACTCGTCACAGCCATAAAGTATATTTACTTACTTACTTTACTTTACTTCGGCTATCTCCTACGGGAGGATGAGCCGGCTTCATGAACGTCTCGAATCATCGCTGCCCAGGCGCGGCGATCTGAAGCAAGGTTTTGCGATAGGGATATCCAATTCTTGTTCCACATACGGAGTCCGTAGACCGTTTGTAGCCCCAGGCACTCCATATCTGCCTTGACTGTACCAAGCCATGTCTTCATAAAGTATATTGAATACACAATGTTATTACTCATCACTTTTATTAATTTTTATGATGCTGCCTAACAAAAGCTTTTCCTAGCTAAAATGTAGTTTCATTCAAGAAGATGCTTTTTATTCTTCTTATATTCCTTTTATATCAGGTTTAATAATTACTTATAGGAATCTGTTGGCGTTAGTTTGATTGATAACTGAATTAGGCACAAAACAGAATTTATTAGGTGAAGCAATATAAATTACTGTTGTATCTAATATTGGTGTTGATCTAATAATTACACTTTCTAAGTCATTGATTTACCGCTACGCCTGTCTAGGGTATGCATTGTTATCAACTGTGATCCCCTCTAACCTCTTTTCCCACCAAGTGCGATGTCGGCTAGCTTTCGAGTTTTTCGATACACCTAACTCCAGAATCGTTGTGTCACCCTGCCATTATAATGTGGATCTGTAGGCTCGTCATTCTAAACACTCGACTTTAAACTAGTGAGTGACGTAGGAGTTAAAATCGTGCTCTGTTTACAGGGCTTCGGACACCTAGGTATCTGCCTGTCTCTGTCTGTCTGGATTCAACATAGAACTTGGCACTGAAATGCAGCAGTTCGAGTTGCCACGTTCCAAATAGCACACAAAAGTAGACAAAAAGATGAGTGAAGAGAATCAATAGACTTTGACAGGTATAAGAGCGGAACAGAATGGGTAATGGTAGAAAGAAATATGAAAGATTACAGAGACTGAATACATCTGCGCCATTGACAACGATTTTGAGCCATGTCACCTGTTGTCATTAGCCTGTACATAACACACATGTGATTCACTGCTAGGCGCGTGATTTTCGGAAGAAAGCATTTTGCTGCAACTACTTCAAACTTACATGTTTTTTAAAAGCCTTGTTTTCTCACTCACTATTTTCATTACTATTACTTAGTAATATTCCTATCGAGTTGTTCACATTTGAGATTTTTTTCATCTCTAGCAAGGAAAGCTCGACCGAATTTTGGATACCTTGTAAACTTGGAAGATAAAGCTCCCGCAATTCCAAGACCAGGAGCAGTACAACGTGTATTAAATCTTGGACCAGCTGCAGTTCCAGTAAAAGAAGGGATTCAAAAAGTGGGTCTAATACTATTGCTTTAATTTCTGTCAACTTTTATCAACCAGAGCAATCATATTATGTAAGAGGTATTATAATTTTTTAAACTTGAAAATTTTATCATTCTTCAATAGGTAAAAACGTGGATTATTGTTTACTTTAAGAAGATTCACAAATTACCGTTGAGCTGTAATAAACGGGGTACACCGCTGATAAGCCTGACTCTAAATGAGAGAAATTCGCCGCCTGGCGTTTAGATCACTTCAGTTTGACCTGCAAGCATTACTGGTTAACATGAGAGCTATACTCCTGGCCAACAAAAACAGCAGCAGCAACAACAACAGACAACAATCAGCATAAGTGGGAGGAACCTGAAAGAAACAACCTCCTTTACCTACCTGGGAAGCATCGTTTTCACTACAGGTGGAACTGACGAGGATATCGAAACCAGAATCAGGAAAGCAAGACAAGCTTTCATTACTCTCAAGTCTGTGTGGAGGTCAACAGCACTCAGTGCAAAAATAAGATCCGGATTTTCAACTCCAATGTGAAGTGAGTGCTACTATATGGATCAGAGACTTGGCACCTCATAAAGCGCACATCAAACAAACTACAGACCTTCATTAACAGCTGTCTTCGCTCAATACTCAAGATCAGATGGCCGGCCAGAAAAGATCAGCAACAGGGATCTCTGGCAATGAGCGAACCACCCAGGAACCGATTGTGAAACAAATAAGCAGGAAGAAGTGGAGATGGATTGGCCATACTCTGAGGAAACAAACCATCAAGTGACATCACTAGACAAGCCCTCGAGTGGAACCCGAAAGGGAAGCGGCGAGTTGGTCGTCAGTGCGAGGGTGACTCGGAGGAGGTGATGTGAAGAGGAGATGAAAGCATGTGGGCAGACTTGGAACCAGGTGAAAACTCTAGCAGAGAACCGAACGCAATGGAGACGCGCGGCTGAAGCCTTATGTTCCTCTAGGAACTGAAGAAAATAATAGTATAATAATAATAATGAGAGCTATACGAGTAATCATCTCAACCAATCGGTAGTATATAGTGTCAAACAATGCACTGACTCGCCCTCTTTGCACGTAGTGTTTTCAGAGTTTTCATGTCAAAATCCCAAGAGATCAGTTCTGTCTTTGTCATATGTTTTTAACTGACTGATTGGTATTATGTTGTATAGGTTTTATTTATTATGGTACTAATTCAGAGTTGTTTTTGTCACAGTAGCTTTTTGATGAAAGACCAATTTGGATGCGTCCAGCTTTGGCATATCATATGCCTGCAGATACCCGGTTGGTTTACTTTACCCAGATACTCCCTTCTCTAGCCTACTACATGGTTCGTGGACCATGGAGTCGGGCTTGGGTTCGTTATGGTTACGATCCTCGCAAAGATCCTGAAGCCCGTTATTATCAGGTATGTGTGTATTATCTCTATTAAGAATTAACTTGGATATATTTAATTCTATTTTGGGTAATACACGTTTTTCGTGCCAAGATAATGGTATTTGTTATTCATAACCATAATTGCCATGGTTATTGGTCATAATTCTCTTACTTCTCAACCGATTGAAGAAGAATGTATCACTTTTCGAAACCCTTCTTTTTCAAAACGTGCCAAACTATCACTGTTTTTGGAGTGCAGAAACAGAGCTCCATATTTCCATAAGCATGTTTGCAAAGTGTATGGTATATATATTAAAGTTTACAAATAAAAACTCAAATATAAACCAATCGTGGTGTTTTGTCTATAGGATAATACAATGGTGAATAGAAATTGTGCAATTAGTCATAATAGTAGTAATGATAGTAATAATAATAGTAATAATAATAATAATGGTTTTATCAATAATAAGGATGAAAAAGTTAGACAACCTGTGATCACACGAATAATGAAAAACAGCGTGATTAAACAAACAAGTGTTCAGGTAGAAATAGTAGTCGATAAAGACTAGTATAAATAAATGAACCGATTAAGTTATGTTGAATTGTAAGGGAAGTAAATGAAACACGCTTTTAATGAAGATGTGATAAGATTAAGGGAGAATAAGAAAGGGGTTGAAAATATAAACAAGGGGTGGTGTAGAAGTCATTAGTTGGTTATGTCTTATTAGGCCAAGCGAGGGATAATGGCTGTACGAACTTCTTTTGATTGCATAGTTTAGGTTTAATAGTTTGAATGCCTATCGCCTCAGCTGTGTGCAGTAGACGAATGCAAAGTCTATTGGAAAGATTCGATAGGATACGATGAATTACTTTGAAAGCTCTGGCTTTCTCCACTACATAATCACTATCAATTAAATGTGATAAAATTGGGCTACAGATTGTTTTCGTCTGTTCCTGGAACAAAGTCTCACTAGATAAATTACCATTAAATTGTAACTTAATAAATAGAAACTTTTTACGTGCACTCAGAGTCTCAGGTTTTCTATCTGATGTTTTCATATGTTTCTTTATGAAACTACTCGGATAGCCCATCTCCATCAAGGAATCGTGAATTTATTCAAATTCCTTTTGTAAGAAGTCATCCGTATATATCTTTCTTACTCTGCTCGTAAGACCTTTAACGAAATTTCTTTTATATTTGATGGGCACGTAACTAAGGAAGTGTGTGTATTGTCCTGTGAGTGTGCTTTTTCTATACACGCTTCTCCCAAGCGACCCATCTTCTCTCCTACTTAGGAAGACATCCAGAAAATGTAGTTTATTCTCCTGCTCCTCTTCACAAGTATAAGTAAGTGAAGGGTGGACGTTGGATTTCAGCAACAATTCGTCTATGTTAACATTCCGATGTGCTAAGATAAATGTATCAGAGACATGTCGGAAGTACATATCAAACTCCTTGATGGTGTCTTTCAGCTCCCGTTTTCAAGTTTTGCGAGAAAGAAGTCAGCTAACATTGGGCCTACTGATGAATATATTAGAGTTAATATACAATTGGTGGATGGTGGCTAGCAGTTGAATCCAGGATAAAGCGCATTTTCGTCCCATTTGGGACTCGTCAGCTGGATGTACCTGCATTTCTCAGTGAGTGATGATGTTCCCACTGAGGCTCGAATCCAGTAAAAATCAAAAATTGAATTCAATAATTAATATGACCCGTTGCACAAGAGGTGGCTCTCGTGGCCCAGGTGGTCTAGTGGATAACTCTTTGGCGTTTGAAACTATGGGTACTGGGTTCGAGCCTCAGTGGGAACATCACCACTCACTGAGAAATGCAGGTACATCCAGCTGACGAGTCCCAAATGGGACGAAAATGCGCTTAATCCTGGATTCCACTGCTAGCCACCATCCACCAATTGTATACTAATTAAATGCCCAGACATCGTCGAAGCATCTGCACAAGAAGCCTACATGTCAACCTGAGACCAAGCACTTCGGTCCAATCAATCGACGGGAAAATCAAAAATTCAATTCAATATTAGAGTTAAGCCTGAAGAGATCGAAATGAAAACAATATTGTTTGCTTAAATCTTTCTCTCTCTCTCTCTCTCTCTATATATATATATATATATATATATATATATATATATATATATAATGGTTAGAAAATGTGTTCAATTATATTACACTACACTTTGTGTATGTACGTGATTCAGTAGTAACAGGCACGTTCATGAACCTAAAAACAAGACATCACATTGCGGAATTTGTTCGAAAATCAGCCGAAAGATTGTAACTGAGCACAGTCGACAAATTTTGTGGGTTCAGGAAGCCTTCTAGGTTGTTGACGGAGGTCAAATGTTCTCCGTGTGCGAATATAGGCGAGAAACAATTGATGGGACCTAGGTTGTGTTCTGTTCCAAATAATCCATCGCTTACTACCACCTTTTATATCATTTGATTTAAAAATAAATTCGAATACAGAAGAAGAAGAAGAAGAAGGTTAGTAGACCTTGTCTAAATGCTGCACACAGGTTTTAGTATGCTCTGTTTCACCTGTCATTCATCATTTCGTTACAAATTATCTAATCTACGTGAGACTTACCAGGTTATACACACTAAATGCATTTTTACATATGCTTGTTATGGGAAATAAATGGCTGTCTACAACATAAGACAGGGCTGCCTGTTATCAATAATGATATTCCTCTTTGTGGTGGACTGGATTATACGTCAGACTGTGCATGGGAGTGTGAAGACAGGAATACTCTGGACCACCGATAAGAAGACTCTAGGAGACCTAGATTTTGCGGCTGGATTTATGTCTAGTGTCACACAAACTCGCAGGCGAACGCCAACAAACTGGCAGAAGACGCTGACAGGCAGCAAAGACAGAACTCCAGGTGAACATAGAGAAGATGGAAACGAAGGTGATCAAAATAGCCAACCAACAACAACAACAACACACATCACCAATCACTCTCAAAGGGAAAAAATTAAAAGAGCTTCACCTATCTAGGAAGCATCGTTTCAACCACATTGGGGACGGATGAAGATATCAAAGCTAGGTAGATTTGGAAAAGCAAGATACGTCTTAATCGATGTGAAATCAGTTTAGAAATCTTCTGCATTCAGCCAGCATCAAGAACAAGATTTGGATTTTCAACACCAATGTTAAGTCAGTTAGTCAGTCAGTTCGTCTATATGGGTTAGAAACTTGCACTACACATCACGAAAGGCATTATCAACAGCCAACTGCAGACTTTTATCAACAGCTGCCTTCTTCACTCACTCACTCACTCTCTTTCTCTGTATTGAAGATCAAATGGCCAAAGTGAATTAGCAACAGGAAACTATGGAAGCGAACTAACCAAGAACCTATCGTTCAACAAATATGTTAGAGAAAGTGGCGATGGATTGGGCTCATGCTGAGGAGACCGTTGAGGGACATAACGCGTAATTCCGGGTCTTTGAAGTGGAACCCGAATGGGGGAGGACTAGTGGATTGTCGCTGCAAGAATGACCCGGAGGGAGGAGATGAGAGGTTATGGGTAATCGTGAGGTCAGCCAGAGAGGACAGTAGAAAATAGAAGAAAGTGGAGATGTGTTGTTGAAGCCCTGTGTTCTACTCGGAACCCAATAATAATAATAGTAATAATAATAATAATTATTATTATAGTGTTTTCTGAGCTGGTTGGTTTAGTTGCGAAGCTTTCGTCGTCCTTCTGGACAACATCTTCAGCGCAATATCTAGCATAAAGTGAAATGATTTGCATTTCTTCATGAGTGATATAATTGCGTCTCCCGATAACCATCTTCACATATGTATTGACCATTTTCTATTGACTTGGATTTTAAACTTTCTGGTCACCTGATTTACTTTTTATTAGTTGATACATTTCGTCTATATTAACATGTTTGTTAATTGCATACTCGTTTGAGTATCAGGCTTCTAGGAGTTCCCTGGCATTGCCTTTTGGTGTTTCCTCTGTCTACGATTTTGACATTATCCCAATCAAACTGATGTCCATGATTGTCTGTGTGCATTGATATGAAAGAATATATATCGTGTCTTTTCACGGCTGGTTTGTGTTCTTGAATTCTAGTTCGAAGGGGACGCCCACTATGGCCGATGTAATGCCTGTTACAGTACAAACACGGAATTTATTTTGTAAATGGTATGAATTTTATCCACTTTTTCTGTTGGATCTTTCGGTTTGCATAATATCGAATTAAGCGATTTAACTGGCTTGTGTGCTATATCTATATCAAACGGTTTCAGTATTCTAGGTGTTATTTCAAAGATATTTTTTATGTATGGTAGAATGAATTTTCTTGTGGTCTTTGATGATGGTTCCTTGTTGGTGTTGTGATTTGATTTTAAACACTTTTTGATGAAATTTTGTGGATATGCATTCTTTTTGAAGACCGTTTGTAGGTGTTTTTTCTTCCATTCTTTTCAACACTGGAGTGCTACAGTGCGTTTAAACTCTTTTAAACAATGTCTGCACACAGTTTCTTTTGTGAGTGAGTGAGTAATTGGATTATTGCTAGTATAGTTGAGTATTTGATCTGTGTGTTGGCGTTGATTTTCTATATACTTGTGTTTCTAAGTTTCCTGTGTTGGTTCTCCTCCTCATAATAATAATAATAATAATAATAATAATAATTTACAATGTAAGCTATTAGAGCATTTATTTGTTGGATGGTGACCATCAGCGGAATTCAGGATGTGCATTTCCCCTTGTTTCGGGACTCGTCGGCTAGATGCACCTGCACTCCCCCATCGGATAATGATTTTCTCACTGACACTCGAACCCAGTACCAGACTACTTGGCCCATGAGCCAACATCTCAACACAGGTTGAACATTTTAGTACAGTCAGTCAGTCTTTGGGGAAATCATAAATGACTCAAACAAATACTAGAGTAATTGGTTAAATTCGTTTATCTTTAATTACTTATTTTATTCAATATACCGTATTTTATTAGGTAATTGATTTCCGAGTACAAGCTTACATGGTAGTACGCAAATTATTATGCCATTCATCAGCTAAGAAACGTATGCTTTCCACGGATGCAACTAAACGATTCTTATCTGATTGCCGCAAGTCTTATGATACTGTACGTTCGAGAGAAGACAGTTTTATTGATGAAATTCTGAATGGTTCCAAGAAAATCCCTCTAGAAGACAATGTAGATTCTGATGAAGAAGATGACCTGGATCCAACTATGACTGAAGATGTCGAAGACGAAGAGGGTGATGATAAAACACAGAAAACAATAAAAAAGGTATGTTGTAGTTGATTGTATTTTTCATCGAGTGGGGGGGGGTACAGATACTGGGAGTTGCTTTATTTTTATTCCTTATTACTTTCCGTTTTCATCTTAGTGTATAGAAAGTTGTAGATGGTATTATTGATATTCACATTTGCAATGAAATCATTGTTTTAATTTTTGTCTAAAGTATTGACGTTCAGTGTGTCCACCTAATGTTCTAAAGATGAGCTCCCAGGTCAGAGAAATTAATCAGCTATTATTTAGAGTTAATGGATAAGCTGTATTCGATTACACGAGTGGTTTTTTATTGATTTCTTTAAGTGCTAGGTTGTAGGGATTTGATTGGCTTCAATTTTGATTAAGAATTGATATTAGTTGGAAAGCAATTGTAAACCAGGAATTAAAGGACAGCTGTTTTGTCGTGGTTTGGGACACTTCGGCAGTACGCAACCATGGTCCCACCAGAGGTCCACACCCCAGGACCTTCAGGTTACAAGGGCAGGTCGTTTACAATTCAGCCCCTGGGACGGAATGCAGTGGTTGGTCCGTGGAGTTTGGCTCACCTGGTAACCTGAAGGTCCTGGAAACGATCGCCAGTGGGGTCACTAGTGTATACACTGCAGAAGAGTCCTAGACTAGGTAGAGGCAGCTGTCTAGTACCTTCTAGTTTTCAGTGGTTCTCTAATTGATATCACTCCCTGACCAAACTTAAGATATTGATTTTTTGTGTACTTTACTTTACAACTCAAGAGAAACAAGATACTCAAAGTAAGACAAGTTAGCAGACTTAATAAGCACTTCCACAATGGTGTTAGTTATTTCAATGACTCATTTCTATGTGTATGCACATTATTTCCACAATGCAATTTCGGCTTCATTGCTTTCTGTGATACAGACACCAATCAAAGTGGATGTCGATAGCACAATAATCCCGGATAAACTCACATGAAACATACTCTCTAATGCTAAAGATTGAGCATTTATCTGGGTGGGGGGCATTCAGTAGGATCAGAAGACATCCATCTCGAAAATTTCTAAGGTTGTGACTAAATCTGCGTGATGTCCTTGTTGCATCGACTGGTGAACGTTGTCAGTGGTTAGTTTTATGGCCATACATGGTGCGTAAAGCCTTTGTGTTTGATATCGCATTTAAGACCAGTTTTCTAGAGGTAACAATCTATAGAATTAGAACTATGTATGTAGATTAAGATTTCAAGTAGTATCGAGGAGCTGGTAAAACTGCAGATAGAAAGAAGATTACAACTAAATTAATATGACCCGTTGCACAAGAGGTGGCTCTCGTGGCCCAAGTGGTCTAGTGGATAACGCTTTGACGTTTGAAACTATAGGCACTGGATTCGAGCCTCAGTGGGAAAATCATCACTCACTGGGGAATGCAGGTACATCCAGGTGACGAGTCCCAAATGGGACGAAATGTGCGTTGTCCTGGATTCCACTGCTAGTCCACCATCCATCAGTTAAACATTAGCGATATACGGTTTATAATCAAATGATTCAAACAAGATATATAACTAAACATGCTAATTTTTTTTCTCTACTGGTTTTATAAGTCAAATTTCTCTTGTAAAACTAATTTCTCTTCAGTCTACAGATTATCATTTTGGACCGAATAATTGGCCGACTACTCATCAAGTTCGTTATTGTCTCATTGATATAGATATTCCTGAGGTTCAGGCTATGCTGAAAGAGGTGCCTAAACGAACTGAAATTGATCCAGTTGATGGTTGGCTTCCATCTGGTAGTATTAAACGTATACGTGATCTCTTAGGACAGTATTTAAAGAAGTGGATATCTGAATCAAATGCCACGCATAGCGACAGTGTCGGTGAATGATTGATTATGACATGCTTCAGTCTTATAATCACTTTGTATTTTCTTGCTTTCTGATTGAATACACTTAAGAGAGAGAGAGAGAGATACTCTTTGATTGTAAATATTAAACTTTCTTTTTTAGCTATTGTACCCATATTTTTCTACTTTCTCCTTCAGACACTGATTTCAATATTCTTTATTCTTCAATATATATATGTGACTTTTTTTGTCCGTAATGATCTCATTATTTTCTTCTTCATTATTCAGGCAGTATTCCTTCCTTTTGTAACTTTAAGATGGAAAATAAGATATCACGTGTAAATATCAACTTTTTTTTTTTAGTTGTCTTGAGTTCTGATTTCATTTTTATTGCTTCGATTGTATTGTTTGATTATATAAATTGCTTGGATATAAACGATGATGATGTTGGTGATTGTAGGCTACCATACGCGTAAACCTACTCTGATCATTTTGGTATCACATGTGTAGATAGAAAGAGAAATGGAATGTGCCTATCAAAAGGGTAGGTGATATAAGTATAAAACTTGGGCACTACTGTGATAGAGTTATAACTCCACTAAGGATAAGATTTTATTTTGATAAGTCACACAGTGTTACACAGTAATATTAACTGATGACCACGTTTCCAGCACAAACTATTGCCACTCACAATCATATCAAGTCAGTACTCATACAACTTTTTTCCCTCATTTATATACATGCGTGTGTGGAATCGATTAGATATTTAAATAAAAATCAATATAAGATATTATACATTCAGAAATAATAATATGAATGTTATTGATCAATTACAATTAGATGGGAAATAATACGAGTGTTTTTATAGCCATAATAAGTTACTTGTTAGAATGCTGTAATGTGTTAAAACTGAAATAGAATTTTGAGATTATTTATTATCCTCTTCTGATATGTCTGACTGGAGGTAATAATATCTTCCATATATCTGGTATTTGCATTGAGTCATTTCTGTTGCATGTGTTGGGTGTAGACTCGATGAATAACCTCTCTCTCCATCTACATAGATTACTTTTCAGAATTTTAACCCTCTCCCACCCTATTGTGTGGTTGTGTGTTAATGCATGCAGTGCAACTGCTGACCTTTCTTCTAAATTACTTATCTTCTCGGGGTCAACCATTCTTCCTTTAGCTAGATTCTTATGTTCTGATAATCTGACTACCCTGACCTACTAGTTCGAACTATGTAGTTGACCTCGTTCACAGTTATTGCAAGGTGTTTTGTAAATTATATTATTTTGTCTAACTGGATCAACAGGGTCCTTTAACCTACAGAGCTTGTCCTCGCTGAGTGAGTTTTTAGGTTTGAATGCCACTCTAATTCCTGCTTTATTAAGAATCCTCGTCTTATTTCCCATCTAATTGTAATTGATCAATAACACTCATATTATTATTTCTGAATGTACATTATCTCATATTGATTTTTATTCAAATATCTAATCGATTCCACACATGTATATAAATGAGGGGAAAAAGTTGTGTGAGTACTGACTTGATATGATTGTGAGTGGCAATAGTTTGTGCTCGAAACGTGGTCATCAGTTCATATTACTGTGTAACACTGTGTGATTTGTCAAAACAAAAGGTAGGTGATTGTGGTTATGAGACAGTACGTAAAATGATTATTGTTATTGTTATTATTATATTATTATTATTATTATATCCTTTAATTCCTAGAGGAACATAAGGCTTCAGCCGAGCGTCTCTATTGCGTTCGGTTTTCTGCCAACTTTTCCACCCCGCTCCAAGTCTGCCCACATGCGTTCATCTCCTCTTCACATCACCTCCTCCAAGTCACCCTCGAACTGACGACCAACTGGCCGCTTCCCTTTCAGGGTTCACTCGAGGGCTTGTCTAGTGATGTCACTTTATGGTTTCCCCAGACATGGAATGATTAGTTAATATTCATTTGAGAAAAAAAGTAACTTTGGGCAAAATTAATTTGAGTGATCTTCTTTTTGGAAAGATTTATTATCTATAGTTGGTTTGTAAGGATTAGATTTGTTTTAACGAGTTGATCACGGATTGATACCAGTTAGAGAACCATTGAAAACCAGCACTGGAGTACTGGACAGCCAGCTGTTTCATCCTAGTTTGGGAATCATCGGCAATACACACCCAGTGCCAGGTTTTGAACCCAGGAACTTCCGGTTACCAGGCAAGCTGGCTCGTATACCATTCAAACACTGGGACCCGATTCCATGACCAGTCGATGAATTCTAACTTCTAATAATTCGTGATCGGAAGGCACTGGGTTCGAACCCAGGTGGTGGGTACATAGTGGCGATGATTTTCCATACTAGGATGAAGCAGCTGTCCAGTACTTCAGTGCTGGTTTTTAATGGTTCTCCAGATGATATCAATCCGTGATCAACTAGTAAGAGATTTATTATGTTTGTATTGGTTGATTGCCTATAGATATCATTTGAATATACTAAGTGATGTTGAGGTATTTATTGCTCGTTGGTTCGACTTTCAACCATTAAGTTTTGGATTCGAATTCCACCCTGCCTACGTCGGCTTAGGTAACCGGGTAGTATCATCGATCATCACACAATAAATGTGCTTCATAGGAAATCTCTGCAGGATAACTGAGTTCTGTTAATCATCTTTTGAGTTCCTAGTGGAGCAAAAGGCTTCTCCAATATATTCTGTTCTCTTCGTTAATTTATGGTTGACTCTGCTAACACACACCCTCAATGTTTCATTTCTTCTTCTTATGATTTCTCCTTTTGTCACCCTCGAACTGCCAAGTCGTCGCTTCCCATTTGAGTTCCCCTATAGGGTCTTGCACTTTCTTAGCGTATGTCCTTTCCATTTCACTTTGGTATATTTGTTAAATAATATGTCATTGCCTGATTCATTGTCCCGCCAAAGTCCCACATTGCTCATCCTTTCTGACCAGTCGTCTGGTCTTCAGTATCCATCGAAGATATCTGTTAGTGAAAATCTGTTGAAAATGCTTTTGATGACATGCACGCTAAGCACTGACGTGAAATCGGTGTCGAAAATACGGATGTTGTTCCTTGCACTAAGTGTTGTAGATCTGTTTTGCAGAGTAATGAACACTTGTCTTGCTTTTTCAATTCTGCTTTTAATATCCTCATCGTGCTATCTGTGGTTGAAACCTACGCTTCACAGCCAAGTTAGTGAAGGCGATGACTTCCTTCAGATTTCTCTCGATGATGATGATGATTGATGTTTGTTGTTGTTGTTGTTGGTTGGGTATCTTCATCTCCGCTGTCTGCTCTTTGTTTACTAGAAGTCCTGTCTACATTGCCCTTTCTGTCAACTTTTTGGTTTGCACTTGTAAATCTTCGAGTTCGCGCGACGTGAGACATAATTCATTTGTAAAATCCAGTTCTTCTGTGGTCTTCTTATCGGTCCAACGTATACCTATCTTCTCGCTTCCCACGGTAGGCTGCATAATGTACTCCGGTATCATCAGAAAGGTCATCGGCGACAATTGGCAGTATTGTCTTTAATTAGTGGATGGTAACTACCAGTGGAATCCAGGATGCGCATTTCGTCCTATTTTGGACTCGTCATCTGGATGTGCCTGCACTTCTCAGTGAGTGATGATGTTCAATCGACGGGAAAATCAAAAATTCAATTAAAGTATTGTCTTTAACCTATCATCACTTCGAATGCTTCCACGAGCTTTACGTTGTGAATTATTTGACATGTGGCATAATCATATAACTGTTGGATGAGATTTATAGATGTTTGTGGCACTATACCCCAGCTAACAAATTACTTTACGTTCGATGTGGAAGGCGTTTTCAAAGTCGCTGAAGTTGAGGTAGAGATTGGGCTGTTAATCTATGCTGTGTTCTATGATGATACATAATTTAGCAGTTTGATCCATGCATGACTTGTTTTTGCTGAATTTAATCTGTTCCGGTGAAGAATGCTTAACCCAGAGCATCATTTAGTTTCTCCAGGATACTGTGACCTAATATTTTGCTTTAGGTGAACAGGAGTGTGATTTTGTGCCAGTTTTTGAATAGGCTTGAGACTCCGTTTTCCCAACCTTCTGCAATAGCGCAGTAGGTCCACCAGTTTTCAGTTTTTCTGGGGAGATTCCATCTGACCCTGTTACCCTCGCGGCTTTCAGTAACTTTGTTGGCCCACAAAACTCTTAATTTTGTTTTAGGGTTGGTGTTTACTATTAGTTCTGCGTTTGTTGGTATTTTTTGAATAGTTGTAGGTGGTAATCTATTCAAGAGTACTTTGAAGAGTGATCAGCCAAGCGTTTCCATTGTTTTGTCTCTGTGGTTATTTTGTTTCCTTCACTGGCTTCATCTGCGTTGATCTCTTCATTGATAGCGACCTGGTCATTCGATACATTGTCGTGAGGTCTCTTTTACCTGCAACCTGTTGTGCTCCAGTTGCTAGTGTGTCCTGAAATTGTCTTCAATCTTTCTTAGCACCCTTATTCACTCGTTTTTTCAATGCGTTGTACACTGGACTCATCTTCTTTCGTTGCTTATCTCTGCACTAGTTCATCTTCTGTTTCACCATTTTTTCTGTCAGCTTCTAGGTGTCCGTAGAGGGTCATTCCTTCTCTTGTCTCTTCTGTATGCCTAAGATTTCTGTAGAGGTTTCTTACCACTTCTTTATCTACCAAGTTGCAATGGTCATCCACGCTGTTTTCCTCAGCGATGGTGTTTTTAATGTTTCGAACTTTCTTCTCTTGACTTAAGTGAAACTGTCCATTGTAATTTAGTCGCTCAGTTTCTAAGTATTTAACTTGAATTGTGGTCTATCTCCAGCCTCTTTGAAAGACTTTTAACTTGATCTTGAAGCTCCCTTTCATTAGATAGTAACCTGAATCTACATCTGCTCCTCTTCTCGATTTTGTGTCCAGCAGGCTGCATCTCCACTTTTTGAGATTGAAAATAAGTGTGATTTTTGGTAGATCCATCCAGTTGAAACCCATATCGCCTTGTATGTATTTTTGTTCTTGTGCACACTTCTCTAATTAGCAAGCAATTAAAGGCACATTAGTCTCCACATAGTTCTCCGTCCTCATTTAATTTCTCTATGTGCCTCTCGATCCATGCTGAGTTCTTTTCTTGTGTTATGTGCTTGCAGTTCGGGTAGGATTCATACGATTTATCTGGTTTTGGTGACACCCTCTGAGTTGGGTCTCGTTCATTAGTGTTTGGATTTGTCTATAGAAGTCCTCATTTTTCTTTCCTGGGTATATACTGTTTGTAGGAGCGTAGTATTAGACGATTGTAAATTTTTTTTCCTTTCGAGTTTAATTTTGCTGTGGTTATCCTGGTGGAGATTGACCCCAACCACATAGGAGCCTTTGGTGCGGTTGTTAACATTATGATAGTGACATCCTGAACATGCTCGTGGTTCTCGTCAGGGTGACTAGATTAGATTATTGACTCTCCTGTTAACAATTTTGAGAGCCCACGTCCGATTAATCTGCCCTCACAGATTCCCAACAAAGACTGAGATGGTTAGGACATGTGTTACGTATGCCAAGCCATCGCCTCCCTGGACAATAGGCAATGTTAGCGGATATAGGGTCAGGCTGGAAAAAAGCTAGCGGCGGTCAAACAAAAACTTGGCACCAGTCAATGAAATCCACAACAGTTGGTCTAAGCCACGTAGGAAGGTGTAGACTGGCTTCCTGGTTGGAGTCCTTGGGACGGTAAAAACCAGTGGTTGGAAACAATTGGTGACATGGCTCAAAGTGATCGTTCTCAATGGCTAGTGCAGATGCATCCACTCCTTGTGACTTATGATCTCCAATGAAACTGTTTTGTTTTTCTTTATTACTTCTTTGTCTCACACCTTTGCTCACTGTTTCTATTATGCTTTTCTTGTACTTTCTTCTCCTGCTTCGCGTGCTACACGGAGTGTGGCGACTTGAACTTCCGCACATTTGTGCAAAGTTCTATGTCGAAAACAGACAGAACAGTTCTATACCATAACATCTCATTTGTTCTGCAATTCAAGAAGCCTTGTCAGTTTGAATCATGGTGGAGACATCCCATTTCTTCATGCTTATTTTTATTTCATTGAAGGAAGACTTATAGGCTGTCTTGCTTCAAAAAGGTTTTCATCCATTGACGCGATCTGTTCGTGAATGGAGGAGTCTTCCCAATTTCGGTGGAGAATAATCTTATTTTTTCCATACCGTGAATTTCCGGTAGTGATGAGGCTGTTTTTCTTTGCCGGGTGAAGTTACTAGACTCATCTTCCCCATTTTCCGAGATCCAGCTTATGAACCACGTGCGTTTTGTGGGACCACTGATTAGACCCTAACTGACAACTAATGACTATCTATACAGTCTAGTTGGTGGATGGTGACTGGCAGTGGAATCCAGTACGCGCATTTTGTCCTATTTGGGTCTCGTCACTGGATGTATTTGCATTTCCCAGTGAGTGATGATGTTCCCACCTAGGCTCGATCCCAAATAAGACGAAATGCACATCCTGGATTCCACTGCTAGTCACCATCCATCAATTCAATCCTAATTAAATGCCCAGACATCGTCGAAGCATCTGCACAAGAAGCCGACATGTCAACCTGATATCGAGGAATTCGGTCCAATCAATCGACGGGAAAATCTAGAAATTCAATTAAAATGTCTATACAGTTGTTCGTGATTCTGATTCTTCTGAAACTTAGAATTTCTTTCTCCCCCTAGCTGATAGAGTTGTACCAATTGATTCCTTGTGAGTATCACTCGTGGTCAAGTTAAAGAGTAATATCGTTACATCACGATTTCATTTATCAATGCATTTTGTAGGAAACCAGATATTTCGATTTCATTTATCCAGTGGTATATTGAAAGAATCCGAAGTGAGTTCAGTTGATTTTACTCTAATTTAACTTGAGTAACACTCGGTATTATCATTATTTTAATTATGAACTATAATTTCGAAATGAGGGGGATCGATTATGGCCTTGTATTATATAGATACTTATTCATAAACTCTTGTTTTCTTTATTTCAGCCTTTTATTTTATTATGGATATCAATAAAAATGATGAAATATCACATGATAATAAGGTGTCTTGTGTTTACACATCAGTTGGAGTCAATCATTTCTCCGGTTGTAGTTCTATCCTAGCAATTAGTCCACCTTTGAATCCATCAAGAGTATACAATATTCTAGCATTTGGTTCAAGTCATATGATATGCTTATCCAAGTTATCTACTTCAAGTGTAAATGATGAAATGATGGCCGAAGTGATGATGAATACAAAGGCATGCATGGATAAATTTTGTATTTATCAAACATTATTTGGTCATACTTCTGATGTAAGGTGTATACGTTGGTTGAGCAGCTGTGATCATCATTGTTCAAGCATATCAAAAATTTATTCGCATTCAATATACTTTTTAATGTCTGCTGATAATTGTGGTACAATAATTATTTGGGCATGCTCTACTAATCATTTATTGCATTCTGATCAGTTGACCAGTAGTCAGTTCATCGCGATAAACAAATTTCAAGTACCAAAAAATTCAAGCATAAATGCCATTGATGGTTTCTTTTTTCCTGCATCAAATTCTTCAGTGCACAATGATCAGTCATGTTGTGGCGTTTTATTTTTATCCGCTGCGTCTGATACTTCAGTGTATAATTGGTGTGTTAATATTCCAGAGGATATACTCACAAATAATGCTGTATTCTTACCTGTCAAATCGATCAATCATATTACACGAAATCCATCGCTTTGTTTGTGTCTCAAAACTTTCTGTGTAAAATATAATATTACTACAACTAGTGGTGATAAGATGCACTGGCTTCGTTTTATCGTTTTGGGACTTGACAATGGACAGACAGAAATATGGTCAATGGGTCTCTTTGATTATAATGACGATGATGGTGATGATAAAGAAAGCGGTGGAAACTTCACACTGGGCGCCACCCTATCGGGACATCAAGATTGGGTTAGATGTATGGATGTTTGTATTGATGAAGCGCCAGTCATTCCTGTTATATTAATTGCTACAGGTGGTCAAGACAGTATTGTTCGATTATGGCGTCTGTTTTCTATGGTGAATGATACAAATAAGGCAGTTTATGAGCATACAAAGGTATTTGTTTGAGTCACTTCTGTATTTCTCGTTAACTGATTATATTATTGGAGCGAAATATGCGATCTCTGTTGTTATTCGCGGGATGGTGGCTAGCAGTGGGATCTAGAATACTTCTGAAATGATAGGCAGTCGGTTAGAGCCTAAGCGACTCACTCACTGAATTTTGTACAGAAAACCAGTCCGAAATAGGATGAAATGCGTATCCTGGATTCCCCTGCTAGTTACCCTCCACTGAATATTACGAAGGTATCGTTTATCCAACTAATTCGATTATTTTGATTCCAGAGTATCCATCGTTGACAACAGATTGTCATAGCGCTTGTGAACATATCATATTATGGAAGTCTCTGTCAGTCACGTTTCAGCTTAATATCTCTTTTTCATATTCTTCAATAAACTACTTAATTGGCATTTTAGTAACACTGTTATGTAACGTAAAAACATTTTTAAGTTGTGTATAATGCAAAGAATAATTTCCTTAATTGTTGAAATGATCACTTTCAAAATATTCAGGGTTACATGATAGATTAGATTCTCTGTCAACACAAGCATCTTTAAGAAGGGTATACATCCTCTTTTTACACTTGACATGCGGATTCTTAGTGACCTAATCCACGACTTTTGGTTTCTTTTGTTTATTTTCTTTCAAAGGTCATCAGTCTTCAACTTCCACAAAACTTCTCAGCTGACAATCTCAACCTGTGCTTGACATCTGAAAGTGTTCTAGCTAGTCATGAAAATTGGGTCACTGGTATCTCTTGGTCGTCAACTACCACGGATCGTTTGTTCCCTCCACATCTACTTACATGCAGTATGGACAAATCACTAATTGTTTGGGATCCTCCTAGTGAAAATTCTAAGGAATCATCATCACCATCATCATCATCAGATGTATGCAGTTTGTGGAAGGAAAAAGCTCGACTTGGACATTTTGGTGATACAGGATTGAGTATAATGGATTGTCACTGGTTACCTAGTGATGGTAGCAAAATATTTGGACATACTTTTCAAGTAGGCTTCATTGTGTCGTTACACCTTTCAATGTTAGATATTTTGTAGTGTTGAAGATACATTTTAAGAGGTTAGGTTATGTATTAATTAAATTATCATTATTATTCCCTTGGTTTATGAATGGAACAATGGAACATCACCATTTCACGGTGTTTTCTAGAGTCATTTTTAGCCGTTGCCCCACTGTTGCCCATAAGTCTTCATTTCTTCCTCAAATGACTACCTTCATGTTACCCTCAAACTTCGGAACTGTCGCTTCCCAATCGATAGTCTGGCGCGTGATACCACTCAGCAGGCTCTTCAGCGTACATGCAGTCTACCTCCATTTCCGTTCGCATATTTGTAGATCAGTAGGTCCTTGTTTAGTTTTCTGTCAGAGTCCCTTGCTGCTCATCCTTTCTAGCTGACGATATGATATACAGTATGGAACATAGACACCTATTTATGAAAGTTTGCAGTGGTCTGTTGGAAACATATATGGTGACGCGTGCACTAAGTTTCTGAACTCTATAGAATCGTTGACTTACTTGACATGAGCGTTGGAAATTCGGGTGTTGTTCCCAGTGCTGAGTGCAGTAGATTTCCACACTGATTTCAAGCGAATGAACACCTGTTTTGCTTTTCCCATCCTGAGTGACTCTACTACCGTCATCTATGTCACCCGTTGGCTTCCTTTAGATCTTTTCCCATCGATGGTGATTAATTATTAGAATTTCTATCTTCGCTATTTCTTCTTTCAACTTGTTGGTTTCCGCTTGTAGATCTTCAGGTTTGTGGGACACTGAAGATAAATTATCTTCTCTGAAATCTGAATCCTTTAGAGTCTTCTCATCGGTCCAACGTATGACCTTAATGAAACTGTGCAGCCTGGTATTCGACGACATGTAGGGTTTTTATTGCCACAGTTTGAAAACGTAAGCAGTAGAAATTGAGGGGAAATTTAATGCTACTGTAATAGGCGAAGATGTCTGCGAAGAAGTATATTTCGATTAAGAATAGTGAAGATCTAAGAACTTCAGAGATAATAAATCAAAGAGTTATGTGTCACCACTGTGAACGTTTCTGGTTCATCTCTTCAAAAGTCTCAAAGCCATTAATTTCTAACCATCTTATGAAACCCACTGAGTCAGTTAGCTTATACCTGCTTACACTGGCTAGTGACTTTATGGATTAGTCTCATGTTTTCGTCTAATCACTTCTGACTTTTGTTCAACCAAATTATTTTTTTAGCATCTCTTGTGAAGGAAGATGGTGACTCAGCATGCATAACACGTGTCTCAGCCATCTGTGTCGATGAAGACTCGCCGCCTTATCGCTTTGCTTACCGTATTACATAACGACATATGAGTTCCATCGAAGTGGAAATAAATAACTCCAACTTTCTTTTCATCAAACTTTTCCGAACTTCTTCACGAAGTTTCAATCCAATGTTTCCTGTGATAATCAAACGTGGATTATCTTGACTGGCATAGTATCTGAAGTTCTAGACTCAATAATATTGCTTAGGCTTAGTGGTACTCCGGTGAAACAAACTTGCAGAAACCAGTCAGGCATTAGACCAAGAGGAGGAGGGTGTATTGATCATATCTTCAACCTTTGACAAATTTCGGAGTATATACATACTTATTGGCGTCCAACCCTTACTCAAGTCGAGTCATTGCATTCCTAATCGGTCAGTGTTAACTGACAATGGTTTAAGGTGGAAGAAAGTTAGGAGTGGACTTGCCACGATCCGGAATTAATCCATGAAGTTTTTGACAGTTGTTTTGAACCACGTAGGGGTTGGGGTGTAAATTGTCTGGTTTAAGTCCTTGGGGTACTAAGAACTAACGGCTTGAGACTAGTGATATAACTCAAGGCTGTTCTCAATGAAGCGGATGCGTTCACCTTTGTGTAGCAGCTTGAAATGATGCACTTTGTGTAAAGATCTAAGTTGAATACTCAGTTAGTAAGACGTTTTGATTATGGCTTTCTGTGCGTAGGTGCAATTTCCTATGTCATCGCTACAGTCTACTGAATTTTTTAAAAATTTATCTTCAGGAAAGCAATCACTAAACGTTTTAATAGAATATTTCATTATTCAGACTAGTCTCATGGTTTATCTAAAGCTTTATGAGGACTATTTTAAGAATTATTATAGCATAATAAAACTGAAGCATTTTTGATTGGATCTACAGGTGATCAGAATAAACCGCTCCTAAACTTTCATCATTTGGATTGAAAAAAATTCAACTTTCTTTTTTATCAAACTGGCTGATTTGCATTGTCAACAATCGTAAGGAAGCTAATAGTTCATGATCTGGTGTGGTGTATGTAGTTACTTACTGTCATTTCTTGTCTTTTTTTGAGGTTGAAGCAAACGGAAGCAAGTTTTTTTTCGAATGCATTGAGATTCAACTGTTTGGTTATTATTATTTTTTGTATTTAGGGAAGTATTTCTATATGGTGTAAATCTGAAAAGGGCTTCTGGCTTCCAGCCTTACCTTTAACGGGACATGTTGGACCTGTGGCAGATTTAACTTGGATGTCTTTACACGGTGATGAGAAGAATAATGATAGCAATGACGCGTACACTTATCTTCTCACAGCAGGTTTTGATCAGACAGTGCGTTTACACGCATGCCAGTCACATGGCAGTATTCCAGGAGGTGGGTGGTGATGGTGTTGGTGAAATTTTGTTTTATCTTATTGACTTGACATTTCACCTGATTAATGTTTAACGTGTCATGGACTTTACTTTAAAGAGTTTTGCCGTGTAAAGTGTTGACTAGTTCGGTCAGTTAGTGGGTCACTTCAGTTACTCCGAAACAGATGTGGTAATTTATTTCCAGAAAATACCGCAAGTCAAGATAATAATATCATTGAATGACTAAATGATTGAGTTTCAACGTGAAACTTTGCACAAAACTGGAAGCATTTCTCATAGCACATATAGGTAGAGAGAAAGAAAGGTATTCATCAGAAGCATACTGGGCATAAATGTATGGGAGGAAGAAGAATTACATGAAAGACCTTAAGGACTTATGGAATCTAGGATACTACAAAGGGTGAATGCATCTGTGGTATATTACCAACAATCGCAAGTTGTTGGTTCTAAATGTTTTGAAAAGACCCTGACCGAGGCTGAAATCAACAGTGAAAGACTTATTAGATTGATTCCAGGTTTCGATATGCCGGCTTTCAGTAGAATGCCTGCATTAGTATGATATACTTTTCTCGCACTCTCTTCATGGTCAAACAATGTCACAACACCTTTTGGTCGGCGAAGTCAAACCATACCTTCAGGTCAAGAAATATAGCAAGTATTGGACGCCAATAAGTATGCCTATGCTCCGGAGTTTGTCAAAGGATGAAGATATGATCAATACACCCTCTTCCTGGCCTAATGACTGGCCGGGATTCACGGGTTTGTTCCTTCTGAACACTGCTTAGTCATACTAAACTTGACTGTTAGTTAGAGAACCAACCATTGAAAACCAGCGAGTACTGTTTCATCCTGTTTTGGCACTCATCGGTAGTATTTACCGAGGTTCGAAGCCAAGACAAGGCAAGCTCGTAGACCATCCAGTTATTGGGACTTGACTTAATGGCCCATGAATTCTAACTTCTACCAATTCGTGATTTTAGCGCGACCATTAGCCAATGTCACCGTCGAGTATTTGTCTTCAGTCGCGACCAGGTGGACCCCATTAGAGAACTCCAGGCAATATCATCCTGTAGCCAGTCACTAGCAAGAATCAGAATAATTTTCAAGTGTTAGTTACCGTAAGAAATTAAGTTTTTTTTTTCAAAGTAATTGAAGAATTTTCCTCTTCTACACTGAGTGATAAATCGTTGGTAGTGATTAAACATAATATTCGCTGACAAGATCGTCTGCTTAATTCAAATCCCCACATTGTCGGCAGATAAGAGTGGATAGAATTCACTGAAGACACCGTGACTGTTTTGCAGTACCTGTCAATCATGTGGTAAAGATGCGGTCTATAGGCATATGTCAGTTGATACAGTTAAAAACATATTGTTACTGCCAACTCCAACTCCCAGACTTAACTAAATAACAACAACCCTCAATTAGTATTCAAGTATTGGTTTGTAGGGATTTGGTTGATTGGTTACAGGATTTCATCATGAACTGACATTGGTTAGAGAACCACTGGAAAACCTGGGAGCACTGGACAGCTGTTTCATCCTAGTTTGGGACTCCTGTAACCAATCCTCAATTAGCTTGTAAGACAACTAACATTCAGTTTTCAAACCTGAAATGGAGAAAAGAGAACACTATTTACACTATAATCATGGAAACTATATTCAAGTCACATTCTGTGATCTCATAATTATTCGTTAACTCAGATAACTTTAGGGGAACAAAAGATTATGGTGCATCTATTCGGTTATCACAGTAAGAAATTAACATATACTGAGAAATAATGAGACTGAGTTCTATAAAACCGCGTAAAGCACCAGTAAGTGAAATTGGTATACATTACAAGAAAAGGAGGTTGAAGTGTGTGGTGAGAGCTGTCTACTAACCAAAATTGGCAGACAGCAATTTACGTCAATGTTTACGTCGGGAGAAAAACAAGAACAAAGACTAACTCGACAACCAATCACAGCAGACTTAGCGTGGGCGGATACGATTAGCACATATACGGTATAACCAAATAAATGGCCACAAAGGAATGACAGATTAACTTTCTGCCAGAGAACAACCAATCAGAAGATGCTATTTCTTTGCCAATAATAACGAATAATAATGTACTTAAAAATATATAAATATCTGTTGATTTTCTCAATAAACGATCTGTTGCCTGGCCTTTGTCTTCTGTTGTTACAGAAGTATATGTCGTCGGTAATGATTAGGAGAAGAACCTCTAAAATATTTCAACCAAAGAATTAACATATTTAACAACGTGCTGTTGTTAGGTAGTTTATAAAAAGTCACTGCGCTCAAATCAGTGATCATAAGCTCTATGCACTATATTAATATGTCTTGATCAGGTCGTTCTTTTCGAACCAGTTCTATGGCATACATTGTTAACAGGACAGGTAAGCGCAAAATATGTTGCAGTCTTTGTTAGCCGGGAGGAGTTTAAACTTGCAGTAAACAGTATCGGTCAATAGTTATTCACCAATCGACGAGGCTATAAAGTTACATAGACTAAGATGGCTAGGTCACGTGCTGCGCATGCCTAACCACCGCCTCCCCCGACGGGCATTACTAGCTGATATAGGTGAAGGTTGAAAAAGAGCCAATGGTGGCCAAACAAAAACATGGCATCAATCCATGAAATCCTTGACAGTTAAACTGAGTCAGGTAGGGAGATGCAGACTCCCGGGTTGGGGCCCTCGGGACTCTAGGAATCAATGGCTGGAGACAATAGGTGACATGGCTCAAAATCGTTGTCAATGGCGCAGATGTATCCAGTCTCTGTAATCCTTCATATTCCTTTCTACCATTACCTATTCTGTTTCACCCTTATACTTGTCAAACTCTATTGATTCTCTTCACTCATCTTCTTGTCTACCTCTGTGTGCTATTTGGAACGTGGCAACTCGAACTGCTGCATTTCGGTGCCAAGTTCTATGTTGAATCCAGACAGACAGATTCACCAATTTCTGATGGGCATTTCTTTGCATAAGTTTGCATACACAGCGATATTGACAATCACGATTCAAATTTTTGATGATTCTTGGTAGCAAAATGAGACTAAGCAGTTGTTAACGTTATTGATTATTATTGTTCCTTTGGATTTTGAATGATACCCATAGACTTTCTGCGGGACATCATGTCAATAAAAAAAGGTACAATAATTTGTATGGTATCAAGGCGTTTAAATAAGAATTGAACTGAAGCTGTTTTTCTTACACACAGTCACTAGCAAACTAACTCGTAGATGATTACCTACATGAACCATTTTGGTTCGGATAAAGGAATTGTATTCTTTATTATATAATTAGTCGTTTTATTCAACAAAACACGTAATTTCTCTTGATATTTCTGCCATCTTTGATAGGTTTTTAAGCAATTACCGATTTTTATTATATTCTGTACTAAACATTAGGCTGGTGTGCGTTTCTTTCCGTTCCCAGTAAAAGTAGGTCTCTAACTTCGAGATTTAAAGTTCCAGTGGTAATGGTGCTGTTTGTGTAACAACAGAAGACAAGGGCCAGGAAACAGATAGTTTATTAAGAAAATCAACACATATTTATAGATTTTCATGTACATGTTATAGATTATTGTTAATAGACAAACACAGTCCTCTGATTGGTTGTTTTTCACTGAAAGTTAATCTTTCATCTCTTTGTGGCTGTTTCTTGAATGTCAGATCATCTATATGCTAACTGTATCCGCCTACGCAAAGTCTGCTGTGGTTGGTTGTTGAATCAGTCTTTGTTCAGATTTTCTCACGACCAATATTGGAGACGTAAACATTGACGTAAATTACTGTCTACCAATTTGACTAGCAGCCAGCTCTCACCACATTTGTGCGGGGTAGAATTGCTAGCATCAAGCTCAACCATTCCTCTTCTCCTGGTTTACCACAAGCTAAGCGAAGTTCAGGATTTCATCGGCCAGGAATCGAAGGCGGGTCACATGCGTCATTAGCGAGAATTCTACCTTTGAACCACTGGAACACTTGACTTTATTTACTGGTTTATATTTAGTATATTCTACACATAGTTTTTACATTGTGGTAAAAGCTGGCTGTTAGTCGAAATTGGTGAACAGTAATTTACGTCAATTTACGTGTGTTCCTTAATAAATGATCTTTTGCCTGGCCATTGTCTTCTGTTGTTACATTTGGTGTCTCTGCCTACCGACAAATGGAAAGCCTAGGCCTTGCAGTTTTTGATGGAGACATATGGACTTTGGACTTCGAGGCTTCTGCGCAGTTGAGTGGCGTTTAGGATCTATCAGCGATGAGTCTGCTACTTGGGACGCTGCTGGGAGGTCGGGAGAAAGCAGCATATTAAAGTGTAAGGCGAAATACTGACGAATGTGCGACAGGGTCAGGCAAACAGTTTCCAAAGTGGGAAGGACCACACATGGTCACGTTGAGATGGGGTTACGCAGACACAATGACAATTGTAAACAAAGAGAAACAGGTGAACATCAGCGAGTGCCGAGATTCCAGACAGCAACACAAACGAGCAAAGCCCCTAGAACCAAGAAGACCGAACAGACTTCAGTCGCAAGTCTTTAACGGGGGGACAAGTGTGGTGAGAGGTGGCTGTCAGCCAAAATTGGTGGACAGTAATTTACATTAATGTTTATGTCCTCAATATTGGTCTTGGGAAAAATGAGAAGGAAGGTTTTGCGTAGGCGGATACAGTTAACGCATAGATCATCTGACATTCAAGAAACAGCCACAAAGAGATGCAAGGTTAGCTTTTTATGAGAAACAACCAATCAGAAGACTGGGTTATTCTGCTAAAAATAATCTATAATAATGTACATGAAAATCTATAAATATGTGTTGATTTCCTTAATAAACGATGTTTCCTGGCCCTTGTCTTCTGTTGTTACAATATCATTCAATTAAAAATATTTCCATTTATCTTTATCTGTCTTATTAAAATACCTCGCATTATTTTATTTTAATGTTATTTAGAATATTGGTATGAACTAGCCAGACCACAAATTCATGGTTATGATATGAATGCAATTGCAAGCATTTCACCAATCTTATATGCATCAGCCGGTGATGAAAAAGTAGTTCGTGTATTTAAAACTACCAAAGCATTTTTAAAATCTTTTAAACAATTGTATAAATCTTCAACGGTTCGTCAGAAGTTGGATGTTATACTTGCTGATAATTCTGTACCTGCAGGTAAGTATAGTATTTATTTTTATTTATTTATTTTTTGATTACAGCTTGATTCCACACCGCATTTTTGGTACAAGTATGGAATTTTCAGCGTGGATATCGGTGGCCAAAATTTCGCAGGCCGACCATAGATATCAGGTGTGCGTCGGCGTGGGCTAGAACTCCGGACCACTTTATTAAGGGGTGATAGTTTGACCTACATGGTATATACTAATAACTATAATGAGTACTTGTCTATGTTTAAAACATAAATGGACTGACACAAAAGTCTTGGAGGATCTGGATTTCGCCGATGATATATGTCTGATTTCCCATAAACCGGAAGATATGCAAGTGAAAAGTAACAAGTTGGCAGAAGAAGCATCAAAGATAGGACTTCAAGTGAACATAGATAAAACAGAGGTGATGAAGATTCCTAGCCAACAGCAACAACAGCAGACAACAATCAGCATAAATGGGAAGAACCTGAAAGAAACAACCTCCTTCACCTACCTGGGAAGCATCGTCTCAACTACAGGCGGAACTGACCAGGATATCAAAGCCAGAATCGGAAAAGCAAGACAAGCTTTCATTACTCTCAAATCTGTGTGGAGGCCAACAGCACTCAGCATCAAAAATAAGATCTGGATTTTCAACTCCAATGTGAAGTCAGTGCTACTATACGGATCAGAGACTTGGCGAGTCATAAAGAGCATCTCAAACAAACTTCAGACCTTCATTAACAGCTGTCTCCGCTCAATACTCAAGATCAGATTGCCAGAAAAGATCAGCGACAGGGATCTCTGGGAGCGAACCAATCAGGAACCGATTGTGAAACAAATAGGCAGAAAGAAATGGAGATGGATTGGCCATACGCTGAGGAAACCATCAAGTGACATCACTAGACAAGCCATCGCTCGAGTGGAACCCGAAAGGGAGGCGGCGAGTTGGTCGTCCAAGGGTAACTTGGAGGAGGTCATGCGAGGAGGAGATGAAAGCATGTGGACAGACCTGGAACAGGGTGAAAAAGTTGTCAGAAAACCGAAGGCAATGGAGGTGCGCAGCTGAAGCCCTATGTTCCTCTAGGAACTAAAGGATACAATAATAATAATAAATAATAATGAGTACTTGTAGTCGGACACTCACTGCTCGTTGTCACAGTACTGTGAAACTTGATTAGGGTGTCAGACAAGTTTTAATCGAACTCAAAAGCAACTCGATCATGAACTTTGAGCAGACTTGTGATGATGGATAAATATCTCTGGTGTTTAGCTCGTATTGATTTAATTAGCGACTGTTGTAGGCACGTGTAAGTTGTTTTTCACTATTCCTGTGATTTAACAGTATTCATTGTTTGTGTCTTGTTCAAGATATTGACAACACCCCGTGTGTCAGACATGGTATATATTGGAATTCAAACTATAAAGTTTTCTGGTCAGTATCTCGAGGCTATTTTGACTGAGACTGTCCTTCTCTTCAGAATATTAAAGGTCATATCTGTCTATCTGTCTGCCTGTTTTCGACATAGAACTTTGCACCAATATACAGCAGCTCAAGTCGCCACACTCCCTCCTTGTACCACACACAGCAAGAGAAGAAAATAGAGCAAATGCATAATAGAGGCAGTAAACAGAGATGTGAGACAAAGGAATAGTAGTAACGAAGAACAATATAGTTTCATTGGAAATCATAAGTCACAAGGAGTGGATATATCTGCGCCAGACATTGAGAACGATTTTGAGCCATATGACCAATTGTTTCCAACCATTGGTTTTCACTGTCTCGAGGACCCCAACCAGTCAAGAATTCTACACCTTCCTACGTGACTAGCTTAAACTAACTGTTGTAGATTTCATTGACTGGTTCCATGTTTTGGTTAGACCGCCACGAGCTCTTTTCCAGCCTGAGCGACCCTATATCAGCTAACACTTCCGATTGTCGAGGAAGGCGATGACTAGGCAGGAATGCGTAACGCATGTCCTAACCATCTCAGTCGATGTAATTTCACAGCTTCGTCGATTGATTTCCCCTCCTTACCTAGAACTCGACCTACGCCTAACCTTGATGTTGCTCACCTTATTATACCACTTCACACGGGAGATAGAGCGCGTCGATGGTCCAGTGGCAGGATGCTCGCCAAGCATGCATGCAGTCCAGGGTTCGATCCTTATTCGGCGCTCATTCCCGGACAAAGAGGGAAGATTGGACATGGGGCTAGCAACTCCATCCCGTTAAAACATCACTGCTACTGAAACCTCAAAGTTGAAGTTTGAAGCCCTATGCTCCTCTTGGAACGCAAAAAGAATCAAATAAATAATAATAATGAGTACATATCATTCCCTGAAATACAAATTCACCACTTCTACTAATCTCTGTAATTCTAGGCAGACAATACTATCTATACATAAAAAAGTATTTAATGTTGGCATAATCAACACCTATGAATGAGAGAAGATAAATTTTATCTATTTCAGATGTCATTTTCACCAATGAAAAATATGACACTTTGATGTTATACACATTTTACAATTGTCAAAAGTTTTGCTAACAGATTAAAAGTTCTATTTTTATCTTCTCCCTTTCTGAAAAATCATTTTTTCTCCCCTTACATCTAACTGAACACTGTTAGTCGAAAAAGGGATTGATAGTGTTATTTCTAATTTAGTAATGTTATTATTACTATTCCACTATTAGTTTGTTCATTAGACAGGTCTAGCACACAGTGAATTAGTATTATTTTATCGGCTTTACTTTCTAAAATACAATTTATTCTTCACATAATTAGATTAAATGTCAGTCTCTACTACACTTTGAAAGTAATTATTCATAATTTTAATTTCTTCATACATTTGGTTCCCTTGATAAATTTCGATAAAGAAAAGAAGACGAAATTCGCAGTATAAAATGATATCGTCATTCTGCTTCACAGGTTCTCATCAGCTGCACACCATTACCTGAAATTAAAATGGTTATATAGATGATAGTAACATACTTTAATGTTTGAGTGGTAGTAGAGAAGAGATACTATAAAATTGACGCATCCAAAATGTAAGCATTACAATTTTTTAGTTTAAGATTTCATCATCAATTTGTAGAAAATAAACCTGGACTGGAAAATATCTTCACTATAACAGCTTTTTTCCCACAATCTATAAACGTGGATTAATGAGGACTTTGTACAACAGACCCAGGAAGCTATGCTCACCGAAGAAGGTTGAAGAAAAGTTAGGTTTCGTTGAGAAATGCCTAAGAGAAAATGGATACCCGGAGGGATTTATACAAAAGTATAGCAGAGGAAAAGATAAGAAAGAAAAGGATCCCACTGTAGAAAAGAAAAAAGTGTTTCTTTGTCTCCCATTCAAAGGAGATGCAGTGTCACAAAAGATTGACAAAAGACTGAGATGTGCATTAAATAGAAGCTTCCCGGCAGCAAAACTCATAACAGTATACAGCACCACTCCTATAAGCCACTTAAAACTGGATAAATACCCTGACGATGTCACCTCCAACTGCGCTTATGAATTTACGTGCACTTTCGGGAGCAAGTAGATTGGAAGGACAGAAAGAATGGCTTCTATACCGTTTTCTGAACATAACATTTACTAGTTTAACTGCTCTCGTAGAGAGGCAGTCACGTGAAGCGTATGATTTAAGTCAGTTCATCGTAGAATTTCTTATTACCATCAATCCTTGGTTAGGCGATGACTAATGAAAGCGATAATTGTCTGTCTGTTTTCGACATAGAACTTTGCACAAATGTGCGGAAGTTCAAGTCGCCACACTCCGTGTAGCACGCGAAGCAAGAGAAGAAAATACAAGAAAAGCATAATAGAAACAGTGAGCAGAGGTGTGAGACAAAGGAGTAATAAAGAAATACAAAACAGTTTCATTGAAGATCATAAGTCACAGGGAGTGGATGCATCTGCGCCACTGAGAACGGTTTTGAGCCATGTCACCAATTGTTTCCAACCATAGATTTTTACCGTCCCGAGGACCCCAGCCTGGAAGTCTACACCTTTCTAAGTGGCTTAGACCGACTGTTGTGGATTTCATTGACTGATGCCAAGTTTTTGTTTGACCGCCGCTAGCTTTTCTCCAGCCTGACCCTATATCCGCTAACATAGCTAACAAAGCGGTAATTAGTTGTGTATGATTTCATCACTTTATTCGTATGAGGAATTAGGTCGGCACTAACGGAGTCTTTAAAGCTATTTGTCGCATTTCATGTAAACCTACTAGTTCGCTATGAGTTTGTCCTTTACATACATCAAAAGCATTCATAATTCATTTGAATGAGCCAAATATTTGTTCAAAATCAATTTGTACAACCCCTTTATTTGCCGTGACTGTCTCTACAGTGATAATAATAATAGTAATAATAATAATTACTATCATTTTTCCTTTGGGTTCCAAAGTAGCTTCGACAGCACATCGCCATCTCACTTTGTTCTTTTCAGTCCTGTTTCGATGACTCCACGATTGTCCATAAGCTTTGATTTCCTCCTCACAGGATCTCATCCATATTAACTACGAACGTCCAACTTGTCGTTCCCCCCTGGGGTTCCACTCCAAGAATCTGCATTAAACGTGATGTCACTCAACTCACTCTTTAGCATGTAACCAATCCGTTCCCATCTTCTTTTGCCTATTTATCGAGCGAAAGACTCTTGCCTAGTTCCTTACCAGATTTCTTTGTCGCTAATCCTTCCTAACTGGTCAATTGATTTTCATTACGGAGCTGCAGAGATAGCTGTTTATGTGAAAGTCCGAAGCCTGTTGAAAGCTATTTCTTTTACGTGCCAAGTCTGTCAGTTGCATAGAGGAAGGATTAATTTGACAGTGATGTTGAAAATTCAGATCTTGTTTCTTATGCTTAGTGCATCTGGCATATCCATACTGATTTCACAGCAATGATGAGCTGTCTGTTGTGCTTTTCCAACTCTGGCTGGTTTTGATATCCCCATCTGTACCGTCTTTATAGTTGAAACAACGATGTCTATATATATTATAAGGGAAAGAATTGACTTCCTTTAGATTTCTCCAGTTGATAATGCATTTATGCTTGTTATCGTTGTTGGTTTTCGGGCATATTCATCATCTCTGTCCCTCCCACCTTATTTTTCTAGTAAATCAGAATTTTGGCTGTTTATCCCATTAGTTGAAATGTATTGTTGCGTCGGTGGGACAGTAGTTAGGACTCTCGCCGACCATGAACATGGTCCGAGTTTTGATCCCCTGCCGACAAACACCTGATATCTATGGTCGGTCTGCAAAATTCGGGCTACCTATATCACATACTGAAAATTCCATACGTGTACCAAAAATACGGTGTGGAATCAAGCTGCAATCAAAAATATAAAAAAATAATTTTTTTCTACCTAATATTTATTGAAACTTTAACGTGTTGTTGGTCGTTGAAAGAAATGCTCCCACCTAGTTTCCGAAATCCTGTTTTCTTTGTCATAATTAAATTGTCGAGATAGCTGGCTGAGTCACTTTGATATAAGGATAGCAAACATCACAACAGATACTGAAACTGTATAAGAAAACAATCGATAGAACACTTTTAAAACTGCCAGTTTTATAATATCTGATATCACTATAGACTTTATCTTAGCGCATAATACAAAATCACATAAAACCAAATTCCGTGAAGAAGTTGGAATCGTATTTGACTGTCTTTGTTCTGCCCATTCAAGTAGGTGGAAACGAAAGGGTGATAATTCCATATTAGTTTGTTTATTGGATATATCACACAGTGAAACAGTATTATTTACTGGATGACAAGGTTTCGAACAAAATTTATTACTGTTCATAATCATATCAATTGTAATCACACGACTTTGAAACTTGAGTTTTATAGTTTTCTTTGTCTTCTCCTATTTGTCGTCGTTAGAGTAGTAGAATTTTCCAGATATCTGGGACAGGTGGTGAATCATTCCTGTTACATGTATTTGCAGTTGATTCGATAAATAAAGCTTCTGTTATCAATCAAGGAAGGAACCTCAGAAACCTTACGAAGAATTCCTAACAAGGCAGGAATAAAAGTGGCTGCATTCAAACCACCCACAAACTCAATTAGAAACAAGCTTTGTCGGTTAAAGGATCCTGTGGAGCCTTTAGAACAAAACAATTTAGTTTATCTAATACCCTGCCTGCAATGACTGTCAGGTCAAATACATAGGTCAAACTAGTAGAACAGGGGCAGTCGGACTAGCCGAACATAAAAACCTAGCTAAATCTAGATCGGTTGACCCGAATAAGATAAGAAATCTATAGAATAGTTCAGTTATAGCACTCACCACATGGAGTTACATACAACCATACAATAGGGGGGGGATAGGATTACAGTTTTAAAATCTAATGTCACAGTTTATAGGGAGAGATTGATAACAGAAGCTTTATTTATCGAATCAACTGCAAATACATGTAACAGGAATGATTCACCACCTGTCCCAGATATCTGGAAAATTCTACTACCCTAACGACGACAAATAGGAGAAGACAAAGAAAACTATAAAACTCAAGTTTCAAAGTCGTGTGATTACAATTGATATGATTATGAACAGTAATAAATTTTGTTCGAAACCTTGTCATCCAGTAAATAATACTGTTTCACTGTGTGATATATCTAATAAACAAACTAATAAAGAAAGGGTGATAAATTCATTTTGGCGGTAACTTATATATTCAGCCTTCAATTTTTATGTCAAGTGTTAGTTTCATCTACAGCCATAAATAATGGTCAACGAAGAGGTCATGATAAGCATTAAAGGGGAAATATTGTGCTAGAGAAAGTGTGCTAGTGTGCTAGAAAGTCGCGGAGTACTGGACTGCTGTTTCGTCCTAGTTTGAGGCTCCTCATCAATACGGACCCACTGGGGTTTGAACCGTGAACACCTTCCGGTTACAAGGTAAGCTCGTTGACCATTCAGCCACTGATCGAACCTAATCCAATTCGTAATTCAATCAAATTCCTACAAACCAACACTTGAGAATATTGTGTTCATCTTTTTCTTCAATCAACGTTCATCCATTAGATGTAATTAATATTCCTTCTGTTTTTTTTATTCAGGTGCTGTACAACCACCACTTGGTCTTTCTAATCAAATTGTTAATGCAACATCGGAGAACACTAATGGTTATGGTGTTAACAATGAATACGATGTAAACCATAATGAATATGTGAATGATGGAAAAGCTGAAATCACCAATGAAGACGAGGTAGGTGTGTATTCCTTTCAGTCGTTCAGTATTACTATTATCGTTGCAGTTGTACTGGCTTTTATGGATAAATTTCAAGTGGGATAATATGGTGAGCCATATTCAGGTTAAGCTTGGAGAGTTAGGTAGGGAAAGTAAATCAATCGAATCGGCTGTGACTCTCTGCATCTGTTGAGGTTCTTAGGGCATTATGTTGCGCATTCTGAGCCTCCGCCATCCGCTTATTGAGTAGTGTTAGCTGACATAGGATTAGGTTGGAAAAATATTTAGATGTGGTCAAACCGAAACATGGGATCGATCGATGAAGTCTCTGATCATTGGTTTGAGCCAGTCATGTAGGGATATGTAGGTGAATGTTACCTAGTTGAGTTCTTCGGGATGCTAAGAATCAATGGCTTGAGACTGTTGATGTTGTGGCTCACAATCAGTGTAACTGCCTTAGACGCATTCACCTTTTTTGCTGTTTCTTATATTCATCAAACCCTCAGATTTTCAAGTATTGGTTTGTAGGGATTTGGTTGATTAGTTACAGGATTTCATCATGAGCTGATATTAGTTAGAGAACCATTGGAAAACTTGGGAGTACTGGACAGCTGTTTCCCCCGTCCTAGTTTAAGACTCTTCTGCAGTACGCACTCACCGCAGGGGTTCGAATCCAGGACCTTCTGATTACAAAGCCAGCGAGCTCGTAGACCATTAAGCCACTGGGACCCGATCAAATGGCCAGTGCATGGATTATAACTTCTGCCAATTCACGATATAGAGCCACCGCTAGCCAATGTCTTCGGCGAGTATTTGTCCTCACACTCGACCTGCTGCAGCCTACTGGTCACGACTTCCCACTGGAGCTCCAGGTAACTGAAGAGTCCCGAACTAGGACGAACCAACTGTCCAGTACTCCCAGGTTTTCCAATGGTTCTCTAACCAATGTCAGCTCACGATGAAACCCTCAGGTTTTCTCGTGCTCAGTGTAGTTCTTTTTAGAATCCCTTTTCTTTACCTTTGTATGCTACATGGAGTGCACTAACTTGAACTGCTGCACTTCTGTGCAAGGTTAGTTCTATGGTGAAACTCACTCACTTTTTGTATAAATGTTTTCTCTACTAGCTAAATCAGTCGCCTTGTTGAAATAAGCTTTAAATAGAGGTAGGATCAAAAGAGTTTTTCAGTCCTTTTGTCACGTCACAATAAGTTCACAATAATTGATTTGCTACTCTACATCATGGAAGGTTACCTGAGTTGTACCAATACTGTATGTGAGTATCCATTCATATTTCTGTTTACTAGTCAATTAGATGTACTGTGTTTATGTTTATACAAAATTACTTGATTGTACAATCCACGCGTTGTATATCAGAGTTTTGAACTGTAATCCTTTTCTGTGAATTTTAATGACTAATGCAACAATAAAACCTCTACGATCTATGTGCAGCATTGCTTTGACACTAGAATTTCTCAATTCTACAAGATAAATCCTGCATAATCACCTCACCCAATGATAAGCTCCAGGTATTCATATGAGTAAACAACTTCAATTATCCAACATATTTTCAGCTTTATAACTGTTAAGGTTGATGTGATGTGAATTTGAATGCATTCACTTAGAAGTGTCGGTGGATCAAGGATACAAGGATGCTAGGCACTTGGTCTGGGTTTGACTATTGCCTGACGCATTCTTAAATCTCACCTAGCTGGTGATACTAGGCTTGATAAAGAAGAAAGCTTGGGCTTGAGGTTAGCAGACCTACCCATGTAAAAACCACTGTTACTGAAACTTTAACGCTCAAGCGTATGTAGCCGTATGTCCCGCTCGAAGCTCAAAAGATGACTAAGGAGCTTTTAAACAAGACGCGTATTCTGTATTTTGGAAAATCTCTTCTTTACAAACCTCCTTTGGAGAATGTCATTCATTTTCTGCTTTAAGATTTAGACACGATTGATAGTGTTAAACTTTAATTTTTTTCAAGCAGTATATATGTATATTTTTTATAGTTGGTTTGTAAAGATTAGTTTTGTTTTTACGAGTTGATCTCGGATTGAGGTCAGTTAGAGAACCATTGAGCTTTACTTTTCACTGGAAGATCCTGGGTTCGAACCCGGGCAGCGGGTGCGTAGTGCCGATAATTCCCAGACTAGGATGAAACAGCTGTCCAGTACTTCAATGCTGGTTTTCAATGGTTCTCTAACTGATATATATATATATATATATATGCACTTAAGGGATGTTTTGTGCACTGGAAAAAAAGACAGCTATAAACTATCATTCACTTAAATTGCATTAAATTATCTGAACACTTTCCTTTTTATTCTAAATTCTCAGTCTATATATGATGAAATTCCTACGGAGGATCGATTACAGCATGCAACTTTATGGCCAGAAGTGAAAAAGTTGTATGGTCATCCTTATGAAGTGAGAGGAAATTCATTTTTGTATTTAGTATTTTTTTGTTGTTCTAAAGGTTGAATTGTTTTCTACTTACTCAAAACATCATACTATATTTTGTCATATTGTATACTTATCTAAGCTAAACACTAAATTAGCCTACGGTGTGGTCGACTGTCAGTAACTGGGATCTCTGTGTGAAAGTGGTGCGAAACAGCCATTTGGTCATCAGCGAGTATGCAGTGTATTCGAGTCTTTTTAATTATTGATCCAAATCTATCAGGGAGATTTCAATTACTCGGTGGCTTGCATGTTTGTACGGTTGATGCAGAGGGCTAGTTTCGCATATGCCAGTTTATCCCGTCTCCGGAGTAGACGTGATATCCAGCTGGCTATCAGCCAGAGGGCGGGTGTACTGCTGACCAGTCCGCTTCGTCCTCCTTTATGACTGGCTGTGAGAACTGGCCATTGAGAGTTGAAGACATGAAAAGATTAGCTGTCTTTGATTTTTTTTTATTACAGCTTGATTCCACACTGTATTTTTGGTACAAGTATGGAATTTTCAGCATGGATATCGGTAGCCCAAATTTTGCAGGCCGACCATAGATATCAGGTGTGCGTCGATAGGGGATCGAACCTCGGATCATGTCCATGGTCGGCGAGAGTCCTGACCACTGTGCCACCGACGCATCATAGGTGCCTGCGTTATATCTCCCGTGTGAAGTGGTATAATAAGGTGAGCAACATTGAGGTGAGTCACCGGTCGAGTTCTAGGTAAGGAGGGGAAATCAATCGACGAGACTGTGAAATTACATCGACTGAGATGGTTAGGACATGCGTTACGCATTCCTGCCTAGTCATCGCCTTCCTCGACAATCGGAAGTGTTAGCTGATATAGGGTTGCTCAGGCTGGAAAAGAGCTCGTGGCGGTCTAACCAAAACATGGAACCAGTCAATGAAATCTACAACAGTTAGTTTAAGCTAGTCACGTAGGAAGGTGTAGAATTCTTGACTGGTTGGGGTCCTCGAGACAGTGAAAACCAATGGTTGGAAACAATTGGTCATATGGCTCAAAATCGTTCTCAATGTCTGGCTCAGATATATCCACTCCTTGTGACATATGATTTCCAATGAAACTATATGGTTCTTCGTTACTACTATTCCTTTGTCTCACATCTCTGTTTACTGCCTCTATTATGCATTTGCTCTACTTTCTTCTCTTGCTGTGTGTGGTACAAGGAGGGAGTGTGGCGACTTGAGCTTCTGTATATTGGTGCAAAGTTCTATGTCGAAAACAAACAAACTTACAAGTAAAGTGTTACACAAAACTACGTGGGTTCACAGGAAATCTAGTCGAGAAATTCATATCAAAAAGGAACTCACCAAATGGCGAAAAATCCACTTTCTGTCTCACTCCTAGGGAAAGTCACTTAATGTTGTGTGTCGCTAAGAGATACTTTAAGTGATTATTATTACTACTATTTTTATCATCAAGTGTTGGCTATTTTCTTACTATTATTAATGCGACCAAGCAAACATTTCTCCTATTTCCCTTCCCTTTATCTTTGTTTTAGATATATTCTTTGGCAGTTCACCCGCATAGACTTCTAGTGGCCTCTGCGTGTTCAGCATCAAAACCAGAGTATGCTCATGTCATATTATGGAATGGCAATTCAAATTGGTGCATACATCAGGTATTATTTGTATATATAAGTTGAAAAACCCTTTTTTTCCACAAATGTTTAAATGCTGTGACTACAAGTTGGTTGAGTGAGAATTTTTACTTAACACTACCACTTATTACTTTATTTGAAACTTATTGTAATTATCGTTGAATATTCGTTCAGTTATTCTCTGTGTGCAGTGGTAGTCATTCTCCACTCCATTGACCACTTTGTCGTTATAAAACTATTCAACTTTGTTTTCTTAATCTTAGGCAGTCGCTAATAGTCATAGGTCAAACTAGTAGATCAGGGGTAGTCATATTGTTGGAACATAAGAATTTAGCTAATGTAAGAGTGGTTGATCCCGAGAAGATAGGTAATTTAGAAAACAGCTCAGTACTGCATTGCACTGCATGCATTAACAAACAACCACACAATAGGGTGGATGGGAGAGGGTTAAAATTCTAAGAAGTAATATAGGTAGGTAGGTAGGTGGAGAGAAAGGTTGGTTACTGAATCCTTGTTCATCGAGTCTACTACATCCAACATGTGCAATAGGAATGACTCATTACTCATACCGAAAATAAGGAAAATACTAGTGCCAATCAAATCAAGCGAGGAAAAATGATGGAATTATATAAACGAAGTTAAAAAGTTGTGTGAATACCTCGATATGATTATGAGCAGCAATGAATTGTGTTCGAAACATGGTCATCAGTAAATATTACTGTATAATACTGTAAGACTTTATCAGAATAAAATTTTACCCATAATCGAATTGCAGTTTACCACAGTGCACAAGTTCCATTCTTATATTAACATCTCCATTTCATCTGGTTGTCTGCAGTATGTTTTTTCTGGCTCCACAATTGTCTATAACCTCTCATGGTCTTCACGCTCAACTCGTTATGTTCCATCTAAATCCAATTGGAAGATTTGCCTGGCTCGTGACATCACTAAAGGTTTCCTCAGCAATTTTGCGATCCACCTCCATGTCATTTGGCTTATTTGTTGAACATTTGGTTCGTTGTCACAACTCCCAGTGATTAGTCGTTTCTGGCAATCTGATTTTCAGTATAGAGCGAAGAAAAAGTCTCTTATTAGCAAGGACTATTCTGAAATATCTCTATTTTGTTGTACTAGATGTGTGTAAAGTTATTCTTGCTTCGCAATATTTCTGATAGTGTTGTTGTAAACTCACGATACATTTAGATAAGAACGAAATATTCCCATATTGAATCATAAGGAAAAGGCACAAACAGCGAGGAAAATTTTCTTTTCGGCGATTTATTTTCATGAGCTGTACAATCGTAATTATATTTAACATAGAAATCTTTAGATCAATCAGATACTGGTAAACTTTGTCCGTGAAAAATCGTATTACATAATGTAAGGTGTAAGAAGGGATGACTAATTGTAAGTTAGAAAGGAGACAGAAGTTGGCATGACGTAATAAGTGTGAGATAATGACCAATCAATAAGCTCGTGTAGATTGGGCAGGAACTAGTGGAAAGGCTATAAAGTGTTTTTGTATAAAATCCGTATGAAAAAGCGATGTTATTAATAAACAGTAATAGAGTGCTAATAAAATGTGGATGATGGGAATAATAATGATAATAAAAGTATTAATAACAATAATAATAATAGTGAACTTACATAATAAAGAAAAGAAGCAAAATTGTAGTAAGAACTTTACTCTGGCCATGGTAGGACGAGAGAATGTGTGCATCGCTTTGGAATACATAGGTCCGGTTTCAGATCTCGAATAGGTAATACTCCAGCTATGTACAGATGGCGTATCCGGAGTCCCTTTGTACGATATTGAGGGACTCTGTGTAACACTGTGAAGCATTCATGTGGGGGTGTTCGATGTCAGGAGATGACAAGGTGTTTGAGGATAGAGCTGCTGCGATTCTTCTTTTCTCCTCTGGCTAACTAAGCTGGACAGTGTTCCAGAATATGTTTGTGGACTTAACGTTGCGTACGGCCGATATGCTTTGCTCCACATGAGCAAGTAAATTGATAAATACACATTGAAGTGGCCAAAAGCGGTATCTTGTCCTTAGCGTTCGACTGGATTAACTGTCTGCATGAGAAAGTGATACGTAGTATGCCTGTTGGAAATGTCTTCTTCAGACATTTAGAAACGCGGTTTCTGAGAATTTCTGCTGCAATATCATCTGTGATTTCCATGTTCATGAAGAGAGTCTTCTTAAGAGCCGTTGCAATGTCTGACACCGGAGGCTTCTCCTTCATGTTTTTATCGATAAATCTTGGTGGATACTCATTCTCTAGTAGGGTTTCACGTAATATATTTAATTCTTTCTCTACCATGTCTTCCGAGCAGAATTTTGTAATCCTTGAACACAATGTACGTACCAGGTTTCTCTTTCGGATCAGTGGGACAAAGCTCTGGAAGTTAAATATAATTATGATTGTACGGTTCATGAAAATGAATCGTCGAAAAGAAAATTTTCTTCGCTGTTTGTGCCTTTTTCTTATTCAGATAAGACATGGAAGATTAAGCAATTTATGTTAGTATCAAGCTTACTTCGGAAACTGTTTTTTATAATGTACATTTTGGTCTAAATTGTTTTAAGCTGCTGAAGGTATTTTCATATTGCGATTCTTAATTCACTTATCTGCTTCTTGTATCATCGTTGAGTAGTAGAACTTTTATGAATAATCTAAGAAAAATTTATTTTAACGTGGATGTCTGTTTCATGGCGTATTTTATTAGCCTGAGGGCAGTCGTAGATGTACTCTACTGAGTGTTAATCTACGAAAAGGCAGTTGTCCAGTGTTGTTCAGTTATCCAATCGATGTCGATTCGTTACAAAATCTTCCCTGAAATCAATTAAGACATCACAAACCCAACTTTTTAAGAAAATAAATAACTTTCCATGTACAGATTTTCACAACAGTCTTTGTATTCATAAATTAATTTGTGTTTATCATTTCTTAGCGTTTACAACATCATCAGTTAACTGTAAGTCAGTTGGCCTGGAGTCATGATGGCACTCGACTTTTAGCTGTTTCCCGAGATCGAACTTGGAGTTTATGGTGTGAACAGGCTGTTAGTATTAATAGTAGCGGAGATATGATGAATCATGTTCCAAATTATTATTTAGCAGCATATCCTATGAAAGGACAAAGTCACTCGAGAATAATTTGGACTTGCGCATGGGGTCCGGATGACAAGTAAGCGTTTTAAAGCAATGTGATTTCTTTTCTTTTTACAATTATTAAAGTATTATTATTATTATTATTATTGAATTTTTCATTCCTTTGCGTTCTGTTTGGAACATCAGACTTCATGCTTTTACGCCTAACCCTCCCTCTTTTCCTGGTCTACTTCTAACGACTCGGTGGGCTTTAGGAGTGTTTCCGCCTGGGGTTGAATCTGTGCATGGCCGAACTAACAACTGCTAAAATCAGAAAGTCGTTGACAGTGTTTTTTTATAATTTGACACACATGTCCTCTTCAAGTCACAAAAGTCACTTTGTAAGATGACGTTTTGTATATATATTAACAGTTCTATTGATTTTAACTTCTGATATCATGAATCACCAAACATTAGTTCAGTAAAGTATACAAATAATCTTTTAAATGTAGCATTCAGTTCATTCAACCTGTTCACGAAAAACTTGGAGGATCTGGACTTCTCCGATGACATATGCCTGATTTCCCACAAACTGGAAGATATGCAAGTGAAAAGCAACAAGTTGGCAGAAGAAGCATCCAGAGAAAATATGACTTCAGGTGAACATAGAGAAAACAGAGGTGATGAAGATTCCTGGCCAACAGTACTAGCGACAACAATAACAGACAAAAGTCAGCATAAATGGGAGGAACCTGAAAGGAACAACCTCCTTCACCTACCTACCTGAGAAGCATCGTTTCAACTACAGGCCAGCGGAACTGATGAGGATATCAAAGCAAGATAAGCTTTCATTACTCTTAAGTATATGTGGAGGTCAACAGCACTCAGCATTAAAAATAAGATCCGGATTTTCAACTCAAATGTGGAATCAGTGCTACATAGTGTACGGATCAGAGACTTGGTGCGTCATAAAGAGCACTTCAAACAAACTACAGACCTTCATCAACAGCTGCTTTCGCTCAATATCACTCAGGATCAGATGGCTGGCCAGAAAAGATCAGCAACAGGGATCTCTGGCATTGAGCGAACCAATCAGGAACCGATTGTGAAACAAATAGGCGGGAAGAAATAGAGGTGGATTGGCCATACTCTGAGGAAACCGTCAAGTGACATCACACGCCAGGCTATCGCTCGAGTGGAACCCGAAAGGGAAGCGGAGAGTTGGTCGTCAGTGCAAGAGTGACTTGGAGGAGGTCATGTGAGGAGGAGATGAAAGCATGTGGGCAGACCTGGAGCCAAGGGGAAACGTTGGCAAAGAACCGAACGCAATGGAAACGTGCAGCTGAAGCCCTGTGTTCCTCTAGGAATAAAAAGAAACAATAATAGTAATAATAATTCAATGGATGGGAAAAAATTTCACAACTTTCACCAACCTAAACTTCCATGGAAAATTGTTTCATAAAAACAGTGTAAAATTGTGATACGCTTCGATGATTTGTATTTTAACAGTTACAGTTAAATGAAGTAAAAAACAAAGCGGTCGTTTCCAGAAGCTTTCAGCCACTAGTTATAAAAGTATGTTTGAGGTATCTATACAAATACATCACTTTGCAATAGTTTATTGATCTATGGATTATTGACGCTTCTTCTAGACTACCTGCGTTTACTCAGACACGTTGTTAATCCACTGAATTGACATAAACAAAAAAAATAAGTGACAGCGAAACCTTCTGTTGTCTAACTTTCCAATGAAAACATGGTCTTTGTATTCAGTTCGTAGTTAACTATTTATTTTAGCGTGATAAAGAAACTCATATCGAAAAAAATATGGTATCCTAATCAGTCTGCTGAGGAGACAGTGATAACTGTCATTTAGATATCTGTAAAACACTGGTGTGTTTCTGTGACATCATCGAAGCCGTTCGGTTCAGAGAGACCTATTCTATTGGGTTGCTGAACTAGTCGGCAACTTCTGCTGACTAAAGGTTTACGCAAAGATGGCACTCTGTAGGGTACAGTACGAGCGAAAGTGGTGCATAAGGTATCATCATTAGTAGCATAGTATCATCCATCTGGGATTATTAAGGAAACATCCTTCACAAATGTTATGGTAAGGCCATTGACCTCTAGGTAGGGTGTAATTTTAGTTATGCCTCGGGTGGGACAACTAGGACGTTGAGAAGATACACATCATGTGAATGTGGTATATTCATCAATTTGACCAGATAGGTCTCAGTAATTTACTGCAGTTGGGTCTTAATGTTAATCTTTGAGAAACAACATACGTTCAAACCCCATTTCGGCTTGCTGGTATATTCATTAGAAGATTCGAACTTCGATAACCCTAATGTGATGTTATTAACATGAAGTTAAATGGAACAACATTTGTCTGACTTGATTCGCCAACATTGACCACAGAGTTAAGAAAATATCAGGAAGTTGCAAGGAGAATAGCACAAGCAGCAAGAAGCAACGGAAGGAGAGCAGAGTAGATAATAAACCGAAGAACTCTTTGCTTACACAGAAGTGTATGTAATTAGTAGTTACCAGTTACCCACCTTTTGAATGTTTAATTATCTTAAGAGTAAATAAAAAACGGTTAGTTTCTCGTCAATACAACCTAGAAACGGCTGTTAGTCACACCTGTCATGTTCAAAGGTGGTGAAAATCATAAAGTTCCTTCGGACAAAAAGCTTTACTGCCGGGTACTAATCGCTATAACGTAAGTTGGGATATTCATTTTTCGCAGCTTAACTTTACTAACTTCTTTGTCTCCACATCAGGCGACTAGGCTAGATGGCTGACTGATCACACGAGGGGAACGTCTTACAGATCCTGTTTCTTGTCAACTTGCGTTATGCATTTGTCCTAAGGTCACCATAATGTGAGCAATTTACACAATTATAGTAACATTTTTTTAGTTTAACCGCTATCCAGCGGCTGGTTGATGTCTACTTATCTGACGCAGAGCGTATGTATTGTGCTATAGTTTTCCCGCTCTCCCTTCATAGTCGAAATATGGCCACTGAAGTTGAAGACATTAATATCTTCGTTTAATCGATTATTCGATCACAAGGTAGACCAATACGGTAGGCAGTACTGAGGTTAAGTGCAGGGTCTGGTGACTAGGGTAAGTCACTTCAGTTTATGGGACTGAGATATGTATTACGTATACTAAGCCATTGCCTTCGAGCATTGTTTTCTAATGTAGGATTAGGTTAGACAAAGTTGTTAAAGGTGGCTTAACTAAGGTATGACACCTGTACGTAGAGTCTCCAGCTAATTCGTCTTATACAACTAGGCTTTAATGTAGGTTGCCCGAAGTCTGAGAAATATTGGTTGAAGTCTCTTCATGAAGAGATTCAAAATCCTCACCTTCTAAATTATGAATATTTGCTGTGTGTTTTGTTTCATTGTACATTCTTTTTGAAGTGTGGCAGGGGTAACTGGTGTGTAATGTTATAGCTTGATTTACTTGGCTGTGTCTCTCCTACAACTGTCCATACACATTTCCATTCTGGAGCCTCATTTGTAAATGATTTGTTTCGCGTAGTTAGATGATGGCTTCTCTTTTATTTCGATGAATATCCTCCCTTATTAACATTTATTATATCGGAAGAGAGATATCTGCAAATTAGAAAAGATGATGTCATAAGTTTAACACTCTGACTTTATTTGCAGCACTCCTTATGAAATTATGTAACTTTCTGTACAGACGCAACATCATTTCTAATACTTACAAAGATGTTACATATTACTTTCCCGAGGCAAACATACCACCCCTTTGTGGTCATACAAAATTTCACTTAAAGGTGAGACACACATGGCCTGTGAGTCCTTACCTTGAATAGGGATGTTTAAAAGGCGTTATTTATCACCAAGCCGTTATGCGTGTTATCAATTTCGAAAAAAAACAACAACTGAAAACTGACAGACACTTATTTAACTTCTCGTTGTTTTAAGTTTACTTCATGTTTTTTCTCTCGCTGTTTCTCTTTTTACGAAGTTTTCAGATAAAAATCTTGTGATAGATGTAGAATGCAACAGAATGAGCTGATTAGACAGTTAATCACTTATCTTTATTATCTATAATAGACATAATTTCACGTGACCTTAAATTGTATTCTTTTTTTTATGAGTACTAGTCTCAGTTCACGAGTTTTATACTCTGGCGGGATGTTGTTGACAAAATTTCTTGATAAGTACTGCATACGGTGTATGATGTCTTCTGAAAGAATATTGATTAGTGTGCCGGGGGTGGGGATGGATGAATCGGTGAAAGGAAAAAATGAGATATCCTTGTGACGGCGATTTAGTGGACCAAATAATAATAATAATAGTGTTAATAATAATAATAATAATGTGGTAAATGTTTTGAACGTAGTTAATAACGATGATTAAAATGATAACAAATATTGATAATAAGGTTTAATGAAGGTGGCGATAAGAATAAGGTAGTATTCAAAACCCTCCCACGCTTTCTTATTTTCCATCTTCTTGGTATTTTTATGATATTTATTTAAACTCTGATTATCTGTCCACTTCATCTTTATTTAGTATTACGTAACTTTTAAGATTTGACCTAATTTATTTATTGAATTGTCTACATACATACACATATCACTCACTACCCTTGTTATTCTTATCGCCACCTGCATAAACCGTATTGTCAATATTTTGTTATCATTATAATCATCGTTATTAACTACGTTCAAAACATTTACCACATTATTATTATTATTTGATCCACAAAATCACCGTCATTGGTTAAAAATTTCTGTATATAAGTCTGTTTAAATTAGAGTAAAGTCTGAAGAAGATCTAATTGAAAACAATATTGTTCGCTGATATGTCTTCTTCTAATATTAAAAATGGGAATATTTAAAGACATCCTTGTGAAACAACATATTAAACATGAAAGGAAGACAGTTGAAGCAAAATGCAGAGAACATGTGTAAATAGAGATTTCAATGTATGGTTTATGCATTGCCCCATATCTTTACATCAGTTCGCGAATAAACCGATTTCTCTACTACCAGTAAACTTCCAGGTTTCTTCCTCACTTCTACGCTATCGAGAGTCGCCTTCGTTTGACCA